CTGAAGCCTGGCGTTGCTGTTTTTGTTCGCAGCAGGGCGTCTCCGCCAGGATTTGGGCCCCAGGGCCTTCACGGGGCCGATCTGGCTCGAGAAATTGGCAGGATGATTGGGTCTAGAATCTAAGGCTCCGGCAGTGATTTGTTCGCGATGCTGTCAGGTTTGTTCGCACCGTCGGATCTCAGGGTCCCTCAATTGTCCTCGCCCTCCCTCCTCCTTCTCACTCCCCGCTTCCTCACCGCTCTCCTCCCTCCTCTTCTTCCCAAGCCTCATCTCGCGCCTCCTCCTGCTCCTCCCCGCCCTTCTCCTGCTCCGCCTTTCTTCCTCACTGACTGCAGGTGCTGGACAGGCTCCGCCCTGGCAGGTCACCACGTGCATGCAGGGTGCGGACTAGTGGGGTGGAGGGCGGACTCCCACGACTAGCTGCGGGAGTATGTGGATGTTGGCGGAGAGGGGGGAGGAAGAAGGAGATGGAGATGGAGGAGGAGAACAGGGGGCCTGAGGAAGAGGACGGGGAGGAGAGGACGGCCAGGAGTAATGGATGACGCTTCGCGTATTCCCACCAGCACCCACTTTGTTCCCCCTGGGACACCTACTTTGGACGGCCGGGGATGGTGGCCATAGGCCCACCCCACGCGCTCCACCTGACTCCGACGCGTTGCACCTCACGTGCTTCCCCCCCGACGGCGCTGCCCTGCAGCTGGGACATAGCGTTCCCCAGCATGATCGGGCGCCCTGTTCCCCCCGCGACCGAGGTCCCACCGCATCGCGCTGTGTGATCACAGTGGCCAAGGTCTCGCTGTATTTGCCATGGTGTCGCCTCATCCTCCTCCTTTCACTCACCTGATTTTGCGGCTATCGGCTGCGTCTCCTCCTCCCCCCTCTCCTCCTCCTGCGGATTCGGCCACACACGATTTCCCCCCTACCGAGGCTCTTGGAGCACTTGGGTCCATGCACCACTTGGTGGCTCTCTCGCAGAGCTCCGAGGTGAGGTCGGGCCGCGCTGCCGCCTGGTGTTGTTCTGACAACTCGGGCCTCTGCCTGCCCCAGCACCACCGGGGGCCGGACCTGGGGTGAGTGCGGTACGGCAAGTGGTACACCCTTTGCTCGACTGTCGACGTTCCCCCTTCTGGTCCACCACGGCCCCCGGTTGACGCACGCCGATTGGTCCCCCCGTCAACCGTGATGGATCAGCTGCCTGCGTTGTTCGCCGACGACGTGGTCCACCTCCGGGCGGGAGCCACCATCGTGCTCCTGGTATTGCACAAGTGGTTCATCCTTTGACAGTACTCATGCTCTCCTACGGGTTGGACCATGGTGTTAGGCCACGCCTGCTGCCGTTCCCCCGACACTCCGGGTCAGGCAGTCTAGGGTCGGATTCCGCGACTGCATCGACGTCAGTGCATTGGTCGATGGCTCACGTCGGATCGCGCCCTGGAGTCCAAGTGAGTGAGGCTTACCCGGCCACCCCGTTTCTGCCCGCGCTTTCCCCGCTCTCTCGCCTCGTAGTGGTGAGCGGTGCGGCCTCACGTGCCCACTGTCCTGCCACTTGGCTGATCGGCCCTGGCCCGTGCTCTATGGACTGTACGGTTTGAGCTGGCGCCACTGTGCGACTTCTCTCCGTCTGCTCCAGTCCGGTGCTTGCGTCCCCGTTCTCGGGTCGCGCGCATCTTAATGGGGGACATTTTGCTTGTTGCAGCTGCACTTGTTGCGTCGGCCTAGGCGCCTTCGTAACCAATTATCTCGCCTGTGCCCCAGACGTGCCCGCCCCGCCTCTCGGACTCTTCGTTGGAGCCGCCAATCAAAAAACATTCCCACCAGCACTCCGCAGCCTGCACCTCCGTGCGCCAGGTGCGTCCCTGTGAATGCGGGGCATTTTGCTCCGTGCAAGTGCATTGCACGCCTAGCGTGGAATTTGCCTGTTCCGCCGTCCCGGACACGCCTGTTGCCGGCTGACCTTTGTCGCACGGCCGCCGACCAAAAAAATATTCCCACCAGCCCGTCCAGAAACGAATCCCCGAGAAGTTGTCTTGACTATGGGAGCGCAGGACCAGTCCATGGAATGAGAAAAAGGGGGCCGCAGGCGCACCCCCTCTCGCCGTGAGGAAGTGCCACCCTTGCCACGACACGGGGTGTGGGACTTGTATGGACAACACCTCGTGCGCACCTTCTGTGTCGAGGAATAGCCACCCCTGCCACGCCCGCGCGTCGCGGTATACTGGCGGGCATGCGAATGTGTATGGCTTCTTTGCTTGTGTGCGCGCGTGTGTGTGCACTATCGCTGGATCAGTCACCCTCTGCCCCGCCGCCGACGCGAAAAATGCGCGTGTGTGCGTGTGTGAAAGTGCATGTGTATGTGTATGTGTATGTATGTATGTATGTAATTATGTATGTATGTATGTACGTTTGTATGTATGTATATATATATATATATGTATGTATGTGTGGGGGGCGTGTATGTGTGTATGGGGCCGGGTACGTGTATGTGAACAGGATGGAATGTGGGTGTGCATGTGTATATGAGGAGACGCCAGAATTGCCGCAGGAGGTCCCCAGAGACCCCAACGGGGCTGCCAGAAGCCTTCCAAGCCGGTCCCAACAGGCCTTCGATTGCACCGGGGAGGCCCCCATGTGAGGCTTCGAGAACGAGGGGGAGGTCATCCAGCGCGGGGGTAGGATTAAGTCGGGCCTGTCCCTCTACAGGAGGGATATTCCAAATTAGTAATAAAAAAAAATCATATGGGGACGGTTTGTTTGACAATGTTTGAACATGTATTATGTATTGGTGGGGTATTTTTAATTCTTCGCCGCCCAACATCCCCCTGTAGGGGGACAGGTCCAGCCTAAGGGTAGGGGGAGGGGGCGTGGTGGCAGGGGGAAGGCAGTCTCCTTCCCGAAGGGGAACACTGGGGTCGGACAAAGGCACGCCGTAAACCACCAACGTTCAGAGGGCGAGTGGGGGCAGACGCAGGCGGATGGAATTGGGAGAAAACGAGCAGACAGAGGAGGAGGTGGAGGAGCAGAAGGCGGGCTGGAAGGGGAAAGAAGCATCGGAGGAGGAGCAGGAGGACAGGAGCAACGGGTCGGGAGAAGCAGTGGCTGCGCAGCTGCGGTGCCCTTGCGTGGAGTGCACTGCGAGCTCGTTGCATCCAGGAATCGACGCCACAGGACACACCGGGAAACCGTGAGGCCCCCGAAACTGTTCCAACACACACGTGAACATATCTTCTGAGTTCCGAAGTTTTCTGCTTATGTATTGAGAAGGCCTTGCGGCCAGTGCCGTCGATTTTGGGAGAAGATCCCCATGATGAAGGTGGCAGCCAGAGTTGTTAAGTAAGGTCGGGACCAGACGCCCTGAAGAGTTCCCTTAAAGCCCCACGAGGGTCCCAAGACGTGTATGATGAGGAGCACAGCTTGGCCAAGCTATCTGCCGATCTGCTGTCGCAGCCGCTGGGGGAGGAGGAGGGTGGAATCAGGAGGTAGAGGAGGAGGGGGGGTGATGAAGAGGAGAAACGGGAGGAGCAGGAGGAGGGTGAGGAGGAAGACGAGGAGGACAACAAGGAGGAGGAGGAGGAGGAGGAGCAGGAGGAGGAGGAGGAGGAGGAGGAGGAGGAGGAGGAGACCTCTTGGGCGCCTCGTCGGGGCTCGGGGGCCCTCCTCAGGCTCCACGGCGGCCTCCTGCCGCCCTCCAGGACCGTCTTGCCAGCCCGTTTTCGGGCTCTCTCCCGCACCATTCGCGCGCGCCGCGGTCCCGCACAGAAGCAGCTCGCTTGCGCGCGAGCGGGGGGGGGGCGGCAAAGAGGGGGGGCTGATGACCAGGGGGGGGGGGGAGATCATGGCGTGGGCCATGATATTTCCCCAGATTTCGTGGCGCCTCTCCTTATGCCATTACTTCCCTGGCCCCCCCCCCCCCCCCCTTGGGCCGCGCACGTGCCGCCGGCCACGATTTGCGCCCCCCACCCCCCCCCCGTTGGATGCCCCCCTCTTGGCCGCCAACGAAGGGGGGGAGCATCCCGCTGTTCTCCGCGACCGTGCCCCAGCTGTCTCTGCGGCTTCCCGGTGCCCCTTCCCACTCCACCCTCCGCCACGGCAGGTTCGCGTCGCGCCGACCGGCGGCGTCCCCGCCGCCGGCGTTCCTTCTCGGACCGCCGCAGGCGGCCGATGCCGAACGATCTGACGTGTCGGAAACAGCTGGTCGCTCAAGGCGGAGCGCTCCCCGCGGTGTCGGGAGCCACTGCGGTGGTCGACGCGGCACGAGCCCTCGACGGCCAGGCGGACAACAATTGCGCCACCTGGGGCGGCGCCGCTGCCTCGGGCGCGACCTCCTCCTCCTCCTCCTCCTCCCTCCCACCTCCTCCTCCTCCTCCTCCTCCTCCTCCTCCTCCTGCTCCTCCTGCTCCTCCTGCTCCTCCTCCTCCCCTCTCGGCCGGCCCAGTTTGGGGCCCTTCTCCCGCGCGTTGCGCGCGCCGCTGCCCCGCAAGGAGACAGCTCGCTTGCGCGCCGCGAGCGGGCTGAACGAACAAAACGGGAACATAGAAAACAACAACAAACAAACGGGATTGATTTTGTTGTTTTGTTTTTTTGTTTGATGGCTTCTTTTTTGTCGTTCCATGTCTTCTTTCAGTTTTTTCGCGATCCCAAGGCATTCCCAGACGATGGTGGCACGAATCGCGACGGCACCATCCTCCCCCCCCCCCGCTTCCGCCCCCCCCCCCCCCGTCACGCCTGCTATCGCCAAGGACCCGCGGCGAAATCCGAACCCTGCCTTCGCCGACCAACGATTCGGGCACCTCGATGGGCGGCGGGGGTAGACGCGGCGAAGTCCGGACCCGACCGCCGCCTCCCATCGAGCCAGGAGAACCGACGCTTCGCGAGGGCAGGGCTCGGATGCCGCTGCCTGGGGGGAACGAAGCCGCTCTGGGTCCGTCTGCCGGTCTGCGTCGGTCTGCGTCGGTCTGTCTGTCTGCCTGTCTGTCTGCCCGTGCCTCCCTCCCCCCCCCGAGGAGGCGGCCAGCCGCGCGCCCGCGGCTCAGGGCCCGGGCAGCGCCCGAGCGCTGCTCGACCAGGCTCGCGGCAGGTACGAGGCCCGCCACCCCCTGCGGGAGGGAGGGGCCCGTCGTCGAAGAGGACAAACGGTATAATCACGATTTTCCGGAGCTCCGCGCCACTTTTGGGGATCGGCGCTGGAGCCCCCCTGGCGGCGCCCCCGGCGCCGCCCCTGACGCGCCCCGCGCGCTTCAGCGCAGATCCGAGAAACCGCGCGTCCTTCCGAGCGAGAGTTTCGTGCACTTGCTCTTCTTCTTCTTCTTGTATACCCCCGCCGATCAGAGATTCAGGCTACCCGAAATTCTTCGTAGAAGACGTGGTGAGATCTGCACCTCGACCCCCGCCTCCCATCGACTGGAGAAAAATCGACGGTCGATGGAGGTGAGGTAAATTCGAAATCCTAACTTGACCCTCGCCGATCAGAGATTCAGGCAACTCGATGGGCGGCGGAGTTAGAGTTCGGAATTCGTCCAGAACGTGGCGACATCCGAACTCTACCCCAGCCCCCATCGATTCAGGAGAATCGATGGTCGGCGTGGGTAGGGTTCGGATGTCGCCAACTATTCGAGCCCTTGCTGTTGCGCGCTCAGGAACAACTTTAGGGAGGGGCGCGGGTGATAGGCTCAGGGGGGGACGCATCGACCCCCAATCGCCCGCGTCAGGCTTACGGAAGTTCTCATCAGCCCTCGGCGGTTTTCCATGATCGGTGCGCCTTCCAGCGACTGCGCTTCGCCGAGAGCTCTTTGAGGGCACCCGAACGGCCGCGGGTGCGAGGCCCGCCACCCCCTGGGGGAGAGTCCCTTCGATCACCACCCACTAAACCACCCCAACCCAACCCGAAGGCTCAGATTCACCATCGATTTCCAGTGTGGGGGGGGGGGCGGGAAACGTCGAACAAAAACACGTGTGGAACCCTCACCCCCCCCACCCCGAAATTCGGGTCCTCGGGTCGGGTTGGGGCGGTCTGGCAGGTGGTCCTTCCGAGCCCATCGACGCCGTGCTCTCGGCGATGCCTGTCAGCCTCGGGGCGCTCTCTCCAGCGGCGCGTGCGCAGCGCCGAGCGCGCTCCGTCTCGGGGCGCCCAACGGCCCCGAGCGGCCGCCGGAGACCCAGAATCTCTTCTGCATCGACGGCACACGGCAGAAGAGAGGGGGGCTGCCACGCCTGCCTTGGCACCGCTCGGACGTGTGCACTTTTCCTCGGGGGCGGACAGAACCCCCACTAGTGACACGTCGATTCGTGAATTGTGCGTTTTCGAGTCTCGAGAGTTCGCCGCGGCCGTCATTTTCCAGGCTTGCGCCCGCCAGGTTTGGGTCTCAGGTCGTTTTCACTAAACCACGTTTTACTAAAGGGAGGTCTGTCCATCCCTGATTTCCTTCGGCGAGGACCGTCGAGGAGTATCCTGGATCACTTGGCGAACACACCACGCACGAAACCGACGAAAAAACACAGGGAACGGGCGTCCGAGCGCTGGCCAGCTGCGGGGGGAAGGGGTTCTCCCGAGCCGTCGCCGCCGTGCGCGCGGTGCACGGCCGAGGAGGCGAAGACCCGAGGAGGAAAAGATGCCGACGCCGCTGCTCGTCCTGGTGAGACATCGTCACCACGGCTGGATTTACACCAACATTTTGGCCAGAACGTACCCTTGAGAGAGGTCCAGGGAGGATCAGCGGCATCTGTATGTTGTAGTCCTTCCGGCGCGAGTTCTGTGTCCTTCCCTTTCCTTCCTTCCCCAACAATTGAGTTGACCAAAAAGAAGCAGGCTTGCGTCGTGGAAGTATCACGACTGGCGGCTTATGGCCGCCCTCGCACAGCGCAGGCGCGCAAGGGTGAACGTCGTCAGTGGCGTGGATTGGGCCGATATCGGACGATCTGCGCTCTCGGATAGCCGCGGTGCTTCATGGCTAAGCGACCAATGTCGTGCCACGAGTCAGCACCATTGCAACGCGAGATTGCAGCATACATTCAAGTGGGTGCCAGCTCGACAGCCGATCGTCTAGATGCTGGACCTTTCGTTCTGGGTGAGCACGCCGGGTTCGACCAAGTCTGGTGCCCCAGAGGGGCGTCAGGCAATTGTGGTCCCGGCTCCCGCCCTCCGAAGGCCGTCGACGTCGAATTGTGCGTTTGCATGCATATTTAAGTGCATATGTGTATGTCTTTTTTTCATACGTGCATACTTATATACAAACACACGTACGTACGTACATACATGCATACATACATACATGGATACGTACATATATTCCCTTACCAGTGTTTGCATTTAGGTTTTATTATTTGTGTTCAAAGGAGCTGGGGGGGGTCGGTCTGCGGCTCCGTGCTCGCTGTCGCCGCCCCCTTCGCCGCCTCGTCGCCGCCCGTCATATGGGGGGATTTTCGGTCTGGCGGCTCCGCCTCGTCGCCGCCCGTCGTCTCCGAGATCGCCGTCGCCGCCCCGTCGCCGTTGTAGCCGCCCCGTCGCCGCCTCGCCCCGATGCCCCACGGAAGTGTCTTATTCCCCGAGGGCCATGGGGGTCCGCAGAGAGCTCCGCGGCACCTCAGGGCCCTATCAGGTCGACGGGGACTGCGCCGACCAAACATATTACCGCAAGATTTCTGATCGCATGTTTCTGCTGTGGTCCCCTTACCCTCCCTCACGCATGCCCCGCAAGCAAAGTGCAGCCCGACTCTGCCGTTTCGCCTCCGCCCCATACCCAGACATCCGAGGTCCTGACGATTGTTCCCAACCCTTTCCCAAGGGCCGATCTGTCATCCTGGGGCCCAGAGTCCAGACCCTCCCCCCAGTCGTTGTTCCCCAGGGCCGCTGGAGGCCGAAAACGACCACGCAGGTGATGTTTCTCCCCCAATCCCCGAGTTCCGCCCGAAATGGTTGGCCGCTCAGAAGGAGGAGGGGATTCTGGGATGCACGCCCAGTGATTGATTCGGACGCACCCCTACAGGGCTCGCTTCGATTCCTCCGATTCCGATTTGGGTTCCGATTTCTCATTGGAGGCCTACTAGCCTGCCGATTTCCGCCGATTCGACGTTTTCCGACTCGGCTGCCGATTTCCGCCGATCCGATTCATTTCGATCGCCGATTCGATTTGTCGATTCGATTCTGGGCTCTCCTGCCCCTACCGAGGATGGACGCCACCCCCATCGTATATCTCAGGGTGGGGTCCAAAGTTGTTTCTGGTCGAGTCGAAAACCTCTCAAAGTGAGGGATTGGGGTCGCCATGCGCCCGTTACAGCGGTCGTGATTTCTGTTCGGGGCGAGTTTGTCTGGGCACCCCGCATGCGGCGGCCAGCCCGCTTTTACCGCCCCGCCTCCGCCCGACGCTGCCGTCCGCGTGCGCGCGGAAAGGCTGGCGACCTGAGCGGGGCGCTGGAGCTGTTGCAGGCCAGGCTCTCTCCCTGGGTAGCGGGGGACTAATTTTCAACATGTTGCTCCCCTTCCTCCTCCTCCTCCTCCTTCTCCTCCTCCCCCTTCGAGCTTCGAGTTTCGGGCGATTTTTCGGAGGAGGCAAAGATGCTCATACCGCTACCCTAGGTCCTCGTCGCCACCGCTGGATTCGCTTCGAGTTCCTGGTCCGAATGCACCCCGGGAGAGGTTCGGGGAGCGGCGGTGCCAGTACCTTTTTGGCTCCCCCAGTCGAAGGCGGGCCACCGTCGCAGTCCTCCTGCGAGCTTCGGGCGGCTCTGCTGCTGCTGGTGGCCCTCCTCCTCCTCCTCCATCGCGGACCTCGAGTCCTCCTCCTCCTCCTCCATCGCGGACCTCGAGACCTCCTCCTCATCGTGGTCCTCCTCCTCCTCCTCCTCCTCCTCCTCCTCCTCCTCCTCCTCCTCCCCCTCCTCGAGACCTTGCGGACCGTACCGCAGGAGCATGTCGCAGCTCTCGGCGGAGGCCCGTCCCTCGACCCTGACCCCCCCCTTTCGGCCCCCGATCCAGGCGGGCTTGAGCGCGCTTTCTCGCCCATCTCGCGGGCTGCCGCCGAAGAGCGGGATGTGGTGAAGTGTTCGGGGGCGTGCAGGCCTGAACATGCAGGATTTTGTAGGTGCGAATCGTCACGATCCGCCCGTCTCTCCTCCCGTCTCCGTCCTCGCCGTCCTCTTCCTTCTCCTCATCATCCTGCTCCTGCTGTCCCTGCTCTTCACCCTGCGGAGCTACCACAACCACCCTTCTCTTTCCCTCTGTCGTCCTCCATTCACTTCCCGTATGAATGACTCCCTCTGCCGCCCCGGCGGGTTAGACGCGTCGCCTGATATGCCTTCGCCATCTATGACACCGAAGCTCGAACTTTGCAGCGGCTTCACGGATGGAAGGGCGGGCCGTTTTCAACATGCGGTCCTCGCCTCCGCGGCGCGCACATCTGCTTCACAGATCTGCAGCCGCTTCAGAGATGGAGGGCGGTTCCGTTTACACCTGCCACGGCGAGCCGGGCCCGCAGGGCCGAGGGTTGGCACCTCGACCGCACGTGGGGGGCGCTGGGGCCCGGGCCCGCCCCTGCAGGGGCCTAACGTCGCCCCGGGGAGCCCTCAGGCAGCAATTTCAGCGGCCCCAGGCGGTCTCGAGGCGCCCCCAAAGACGCCGTCCAGGGGTCTCTGGCGACGCAGGGTGCGTTTCAAACTTGCCCCAGAGGCCCCCAAGACGCCCCAAGGGGCCTTTCAGATGCCGCCCAGGAGCGCTCCGAGACGGCAAAATCGTTGATTTCCACTTGTTTTGTAGAATGTTTTTAGCGTTCTCGCTATTTCGTGTTTCCGGCACTGAAGCACCGCCCAAGATGCCCCGCAAACCGCGCCAAGACGGCTCAAGAGGCCCCCAAGATGGCCCCAAGACGGCCCAAGAGAACCCTGAGACTGCCCAAGAGCCGCCCAAGACGGCGCAAGAGGGTCCCAAGAAGGCTCAAAGAGGGGCCCAAGAGAGTGAACGCGAACTGAAAAGTCCAGCTCTCCGCCCCAAGATGCCCCCAAGAGGCCCCAAGAGGCCCCGAGAAAGCCCCCAAGAGTCCCCAAGAGGCCCCCAAGAGCAAGAGGCCCCCAAGAAGCCCAACAGAGGCTCCAAGAAGCCCCAAGACGGCACCCAAAAGGCGTCACATTCTTTCTAAGAGGCCCCCGAAGACATGCCAAGAAGGTCCCATGACGACCTCAAGATGCAGTCCAGGATGCTCCGAGGAGGCCCCGAGAAGCCAGCTAGAACTTGAGCACATGTGAAGCGCGCGCGATGATGGTTCTAGTCGACATGTGGCTCTCGCCTTGGTTCCGCGCACATTTGTTTTAACAGTTCGCAGTGGTTTCACAGATGGCGAGCGGTTCTTTCCAACAGATTGTTCTCGCCTTGGCGTCGCGCCCATTCGTCTCAAACATCTGCAACCGTTTCAAGGATGGAGAAAGGTTTCTGCTCATGTGGCTCTCGCCTCAGCTCCGCGCGCATTCGTCATAAAGTCATCAGCACATTCAAGGATGGACGGCGGTTTCTTTCCAACATGTGGCTCTCGCCTCGGCGCCGCTCGTATTCGTTTTAAGAGTCTGCAGCCGATTCAAGGATGGAGGTCTGTTCCTTTTCTACATGTGACTCTCGCTCCTGCGCCGCGCACATCCGTGTGATGGTTTGCAGCAGCTTCAAGAATGGAGGGCTTTTTTCTTTTCAACATATGGCTCTCGCCTTATCGTCGCGCTCATGCGTCTTAACCACTTGCCTCGGTTTCAGGGGCTCGGGTATTCCAATTTCCAGGTGTGGTATCCTGTCACGTTCTAGGGCCGTCAGGGACTTTGCATTCACTTGGGTTCGCGGTATTGACGTCCCAAGAGCGGCGTTCTGTTATGAGTTTGAGTCGTCAAGACGCAATTGCCGCGTTGATCGTTGATCCCAGGATCTTTGTTTAGACACGATTGAGAATTCTCGGACGTTTGTCTTCGAATGTTCACTTTCCCGCAGTGGAGATACATGGAAGTCGCACGCAGTACCTTCAGGGACCCATGCAGAGGGAACTTGGGAGGAGGGTGTGTTGGAGCGTGTTTCATTATTGCATGGGGCATAATGAGCATTATAGCCCCCGGCCCCCCCCCCTCCCTCTGTAACGTAACGCCCCTCCACCCCCCGCGTGCGCGCCAGGCACTGCCGCCGTGCGCGCCAGGCACTGCCACGCTACGTTATACCCCCCCGCCTGGCCCCTCCCCCCCAATAATGCCCAGTATCGTCGAAAATAAAGAGACGCGTTCTTGCAATTTCGGTGATGCGCCGTGGGTGTGTACTGGTAGTCCTCTTGCGGTCCTTGTCTTTGTCCTCGCCTTTTGTTCTCTCCCGACCCGCCCCATATTTTCCCGCACGCCCTGGCGTACGCAGGATAAGCAAGAGGTAGGAGGGACGAAAAGGGGGGAGGAGGGGTCTCCGGCGTCCAGGCGGGCTGTCGCCCCCCCGCCCGGGCGCCGGAAAAAAAACTTGATGGACACACCCGTGGAGAGAGGGCTTTTGAGAACACTGTGGTTAATTTGCTCGGCCTGGCGCGCATGGACTATCCTCACACGCCTGACGCCAGTGGACACCCGTCCCAAAGGTGGACGGGTGCTGGGGTCGCGGCAGCAGCAGGAGGAGGGGGCAGGGATCGGAGCACGCAATGTATCAGGCAGTGCCTTCGGCTGGAAACCGTGATCTTCCAGGGACTTACAAGGGGGCGTCGAGTTGCAGCCCGGGTGTGCGGTGTGGCACGATGTTCTGATGTCACGACGTTGGTGCAGAGTGTTTCTTTGACGTTGCCGTCGCCCCCCCGTTGTTTCCGAGTCTCGTTTATTATTTTCCCTGTTGTATCAGCATTGGTGCACGCGGTCCTGCCCCCCCCTCCACCAGGCGAACATCTCTGACGATTCTGGCGTTTTTGTGATTGGTGGATCTGTTTCAATGCGTTTTCGATTTGTAGAAATTCCCTTGGTTTGTTTTGTGGCCAACATGTATACATCAATCCGCCCGGGCTGGTTTCGCGCTTCGTTGGCAGATATTTTGAGGGTGGCTTTCTGGCCTGCGCTGTCAGGGCCCGCCCGTTTGCTCAGAGTCGCTTCATGTGTTCATGTGCCCCATGTGTTTTTCTCGACGCATTTGTAGGACCCCTACGCAGTGCAGTGCATTTCGCCTTTGTTTTACCTCGCTGTGCCGTAGACAGCCGCCCGCGCTGACACCTTGAAAGCCGCAGGTCCGCAAGAATGTGGCGCGTGCATTTTTGCACTGTTCCAGCGAAGCGCCTTCCCAGACATATCTCCCGGGGGAGGAGCTAGGGGAGAGGATGATTGAGGGAGGAAACCGGAGGAGGAAAGAGCTAGGAGCAGTGAGTGAGGACGTGCAGGATAAATGAGGATTGATGGAGGAGAAGCAGAGAAGGGAGGGGAGACGGAGGCAGGGGAGGGAGGGAGGGTGGAGGACGTGAAGACGAGGAGGGAGGACGGACGAGAGGAGAAACATGGGGGAGGAGGAGGAGGAGGAGGAGGAGGAGGAGGAGGAGGAGGAGGAGGAGGAGGAGGAGGACGAGGAGAGGAGCAGGATGGAGCATGAGGAGAAGGCCCCCGCGCGCAGGCGGCCCGCGAGGCCGCTGAGGCGGACGGGGCTGGGGACACCAGCCGGGAGCTCATGAGCGTGCTGTCGCTGTTGGGCAAGGCGTGCGCTCAGGGGCAACGTTCGGGGGCGGGGGGGGGGGGATAGAGGGGGCGGGGGGTGAGAGGTCCGAGGTTCGAAGTTCAAGGTTTTCTCGCTTTCTCTCCTCGGCTCACGGCGGCTTTCCGGACCTGGATGCCTTCCAGCGGCTGCGCCTCGCCGAGGGGGTTCCAGGGGTGCCCGGATCATCCCGAGCGGCCGCCAGAGGCCCGAGTTATGACCCGAAAATTGCCAGGGGGTAGGCTTGGTGATGGGCTCATTTTCCACCACCACTTCCGTATGTAGGAGGGGGAGGGGGAGGAGGGGGAGGAGGAGGAGGAGGAGGAGGAGGAGGAGGAGGAGGGGGAGGAGGAGGAGGAGGAGGAGGGGGAGGAGGGGGAGGAGGGGGAGGAGGAGGAGGACCTCCTCATCCTCCCTTTTCCTTCCGTCCTACATATGGTAGTGGTGGCGGAACATTGGCCCATCATTTTTTGGGGGGGGGGTCGCATCGGTCCATGAACGCCCATTCGTCGCCGATGGGGGCCCGCTGGCCCGCCCCGCCCGGAGCGTAGCGATTCGCCATCGGGGCCCTGTCGCCGATCTGTGGGCGACGCAGCGCCGATTGCAGCTCGACGGTGTCCCCCCCCTGAGCTGCTCCCCCCTATCTCGGGGGCGGCAAAGAGGGGGGTGATGACCACGTAGGTTTAAGGTCGGGCCTGTCCCTCTGCAGGAGGAATATTACAAAGTAGTCCGGGGACAATATGTCGTTTTTTACATTTTTTTTGGTGATTTTTTTCAACTGATCGTCCAGAATCCGCCTGTAGGGGGACAGGCCCGACCTAAGACTAGGGGGGCGGGTGTCATGGCGCTGGCCATGATCTTGCCCCCGATTTCACGGCGCCTCTCTTCTTATTTCACTACGTCCCTGGCCCCCCCCCCCCTGGACCGCGCACATGCCGCTGGCCATGACTGTTGCGCGCCCCCCCTTGGACGCCCCCCTCTTGGCCGACCCCCGGCCATCGCTGCCCTTCGTTCGCTGCGGTCGTCTCCGTCGCGGTGGAGATTCTTCGGCGCGGTTTGGGCCACTTCGGGTCGGCGGGGGACCTGCGAGAGCCTCGGGAGGGGATCAGGGGACCTCCAAGGGATCGTACGGGGATCTCGGAGATCATCGTCGGCCATCGCCGCCGTATAGTATTGGTACTTTTGCTAGTGTAAATGTCATCAGTCTTATTCTGAATGTTAGTATATTTTCATGTTGTTACTGCCCATTCTTATTCGTACCCGCATGATTAATTTGAGCAGTAATATGGTTAGTCTGCGTAGTATTGCTGTTATCCGTATTGTCATTATTGTTTGTAGTATCGCAGTTGTTATGTTCACTAGTCTGATTAATATTATGGTTTGTATTCGTAGTAAGTTTATCAATATTGTGGTCATCATCGTCGTCCTCGGAGGAGAGAGAGGGCGGGTTCTTGCCGCTACGCTTGGGAAGCAACATTGGTATGTGAGACTCTGCCGTCAGGGAACAGCTTCAAGTTTCACACACATCTGATTATCGCTCCCTCTCTTCGCCTCACTCACGGAGAGGGCAAGAGCTGAAGGATGCCACAGGTTGGTACGATGGTGAGCCCATCACGTAAGTGTTGCTACAGCAGAGACTGACCTGCCTGGTCTTTCCATCACCACCCCCGCGAGGCTTGCATGAAGAGCCGGGATTGGAAAGGTGCTGCCACGGCTTTCCGTGGTGTCGCGGAGTTGGAGGACCCGCATGTCCATGTTCGTGTTCTTTAGGTCGGTCGTGTTGCCAGTGATAGCTGTGTGCCATTATGTCTCTATGTCGTTCGCATAGTATTTGTCAGCTCGGCATTTTCATCCAGTGCTGTGCGCGTGCATGTGAGAAGGACTACGTTTCGCACGCATGGCTTTCCATTTGACATGTTCTGGAGGATTACGCTATTCCGCCAACCGCCGAAAGGTGGGTGGACGACTGGCATGTGCTTCCGCTTCCCGTATCCCTAGCCTCCCATTCAGAAATGACGCCTAGGCGAACAGCCAGGCTTAGGGCATTCTATAAAGCATACGGTGAAACGAAAAGGCCAACAATGCTGAATTTCACTTCCTCGAGGCGCCGATTGGAGGCGTCTTGGAGTCCTTCTCGACATACCTTGGGGCCTCGTTTCGAGCATGTGAGGCCTTATTCGGGATTCTCGAGGGTCATCTTTCAGGCATCGTAGACCCTCTTTGACCCATCTTGGAGGCCGTCGGTCAAAAAGTAAGTCTCCTAAATTGGGGATCCATCAGGGCCCAGAAGATGCATTGAGTAGCTGTCGTTCCCCTCAGCTTGTATTGTATATGGAAGAAATCCCAGGGAGGCTTGTCCAAGAGAGATTATCCAATAGGGGTTGTCCTGATCTCAGCTGGGTTCTCCAAAGGGCTGTCCAGAGAAGGCCGTCTTGTCGTCGCTAGTCAGCATGGGTTGCCCGTGAGGTTGTCCAGGGATTTGTCCACCTGATTATTTTTGTCACTGAACGTGTGGGAGGAGGGGCATCCGCCAAACACTGCACAGGACTCCTCGCCCATGGCAATCTATGGTTGGCGTTTTTTTGGTTTATTCATTTTGCCCTTCGCTAGTGGTGTATGTGGTGCTGCCGCTCCTCCTCTCCTCTTCCTGCTCCCGATCCCCCTCGCAGAATATTCAAGAAGAGCCTAAACAGCGTCAAAACCTACTCTTCGATCCCTCTACACGTCGCCTCTCCCATTTCCCGGATCCTCCTCCGTCTTTGCCTCCTGCTATTTGTCCGTTACCACCATGTTGTGCTGCTCCTCGCCACATCCCTGATCTTGCTCCGCACGGAGAACGGATAGTGATCGTGAGCATCTGGAAATTTGTCGGCGGGGCCACCCGCAAGAGACGACATAGATGTTCCGTTGCATTGTTCACCCGTCTCCCTCCTTCCGGCCGTGCTTGATCCTCGTTCTGTCTTGGGTTTTGAGACGATGACCTTGCAAACCATGACATCATCACGCGAAGAAAAGGAAATTTGCAGAATATCTCGACCCACAGCTGCAGGTTTCTCGGGTGCGCCAGTGTCATGGTTTATCTGGATGCTCCTGTGTGGGCGGCCCTGTTCTCAGCGACAGCGTCAGAGGAGAAGCTCTTCTCCCTGGACAAGCGAGAGGAGCGTGAGGCGCCTCTGGCGAACGTTCGGGCGCCTTTGGCGAACGTTTGGACTTCCAGCTTCGCTGCCGCGCGAGTTCTGCCAGTGCGCTTGGGATGGCAGCCAGGGTGGGTGGAAGTGGAGTTGCCGTGTCTTGGGCGGGCTTGTGGGGGTTCATAAAGTGTCCTGTCCACGACGCAGGTTTTCGCATATTTCCTTGCGTGGGCGCCGGAAAACGTAGGGACTTGGTGTTTGTGTTTATGCGTGAGCGCATGTTGGGCACGTGCGCCGTGGGGTCCCACCTTCTGCTCCGCAACGTTCGAAGAGACCAGCAAGAACCAGACACCTACCGCTGCGAGCGCAGATGTGGGTCTTGTTATCCACTCCCCTCCCACTGCCCCAACCGTCCATCCCTCCTTGTTATTTGAAGGGTTTTGCTCTCTGTCGCCAGACCGTCCTTCCTTTTTGATTGCCTGCGTGGTTAGGTGATTCATCGGCTGGTTGGTTGGCTAGTTGGCTTCTCAGTTGGTTCGTTGGCTTCTGGGTGGAAGGCTGGTATGTTGGATGTTTGGATATGAAGGATGGCGTGTTCTCTTGGATGGAAGGCTGGCAGAAAGGCTGGGTAGGCGTGATGGTTGGTTGAAACATTGTCTTGGTGACTGGCGATCTCGGCGCGCAGATCCACATATTTGCTTACGAGAGATCGTGGCTCCGGGGGCGCTGCCCACTTCTTTCTACGAGGGATCGTGGCACCGTGTGCGAGGCACCGTTGTGTTTTGCACAGGATCGTGGCCTCGGGAGCGCGGACCGATCCACTGAGAAATCGATGCTTCGGGAGCGCGGCGCCAGTGTTTTTCGCTCGAAACGACCCCCGCCCACATCCGCAAAACTCTGCTTCATTCGGTCTGGCTCTGAGGCTCGTGGCCTCGGCATGGCGGAGCGATCTTCCCATGCAGCGCCTGCGCTTGGGAGTTCTCGCTTCCCTTCTGGGCAGCTGGCTGGGCCCGTTCGTGGACCGGGCGGCCCTGGTCCCGTCCGTCGCCGCCCAGATCTCCCTCACAACAGCCCGCGTCGTGGCTCGTGGCCTCGGGATGGCGGAGCGATCTTCCCATGCAGCGCCTGCGCTTGGGAGTGCTCGCTTCCCTTCGGAGCAGCTGGCGGGGCCCGTCTGTGGGCCGGGCGGCCCCGGTCCCGTCCGTCGCCGCCCAGATCTTCCTCCTAACTCAGGAGAGGGAAAAACACACACACACAGACACAATGAATCCTCGATTCCTCCGAAAATATAGGAAAGTATGGGAAGTGGGGGGGGAGACAGAAACGCAAAAAGTATGCGAAAAAATTGGGAATCGTTTTATTTGTGTGTATTTATTTGTGTGTCCTGGGGCCCCTTCAATAGCAGCCTGCGTCGGCGGGCACGGCGGCCCCGTTCCCGTGCGCCGCCGCCCCCCCGTTGCGCCCACCCCCCCCGCCTCGCGGCACCCGCCCCCCCGTTCGCATCGCAGGCTGCGCATGGCACGGCACGGCAGGGCCTGGCGTTGCACTGCGTCACATTGCGTGGCATTGCTCTGCGCTGCTTCTCTGCACTGCGCTGCATTGCCCTGCACTGCGTCGCATCGCATGGCATCAGTTTGAATCCCTTTGCGTTGCTTGACATGGCTTGGCTTGGCTTGGTATTGCATCGCGTTGCGTTGCTTTGCATTGCCTTGCATTGCCTTGCATTGCCTTGCATTGCCTTGCATTGCCTTGCATTGCCTTGCATTGCCTTGCATTGCTTTGCGCCGCATAGATTGCGCCACATGAATTGCGCCACGTAGATTGCACCACACTGATTGCACCACCTTGATTGCACCGCACACGTTGCACTAATCCATTGCTTGGGGTTCAGGCCGGCTCACATTTGTAGTACGATGGTTCGGTGCCCCGGGAGTGCGAATCACATGTTTTAACTAATGATGGTGGCCCCAGAACCGCAGACCCACGGTGTTTCACAAGAGGTCGTGGCGTTGGAGCGCCCATCCACTGTTTTTTTGTCTGGGGAGTGTGGTCTCGAGGTTCGCTGTGTTTAGTATCGGGTGCTGGCCTCGTGAGCAAGATTCTGTTCTCTTGTAAATTGTGTTGTGGCCCGGGGAACGCGAATCCATGGCATTTTCTTGCAGTTGGTCGCAGCCTCGGGAGCAATGACTCATTGCATTGCATGAGGGATGGTTACCTCGGGAGAGCGAAGCCAGAATTTTTCATAATTGATGCTGGGCTCGGGAGCGCGGATCGATGAAGAGAACGTGGCCTCGGGAGCGCACATCCGAATCCCTTTAAGGGGGGTTGTTGTTGCGGCAGCGCGAGCCCAGCGTTGTTGTCACGAGTGATGCTGGTCCTTGGACCGATGACCCCTTTTTTTTGTAAATGGGATGGTGGCATCGGACGCGCGGGCCCTCTGTTTTCCTATTGGTCGTTGCGTCGGGAGCGCGTGCCCATGAGTTTGTTTACTTGGTACGGAAGGTCCTCCTCCTCCCTCCTCTTCCTCCTCCATGCCGTTTCCTTCGCACCCGAGGCCTGTTTTTAGGGCGGACTGGGCGTTTCGCTTGAGACTTCTTCACCATGTATGTCCCCGAAGCTTGAAAATTGGCAACATTTTCAAAGATGGAGGGCCTGGCCGTTTTCAAAGTGTGGCTCTCGCCTTAGCGCGGCGCACTTTCGGTTTCAACATCTTAAGAGTTTCACGGATTGCTTGCGAGTGGTTTTCGAAATGGGGTTCTCGCCGTAGCGCGGCGCACATTCGTTTTTTTGAATTCGCAAGAAATTCACGGATTGAGGGCGGGTCGTTTTCAAATTGTGGTTCTCGCATTAGCGCCGCGCATATGCGTTTTCAACATCAACAAAAGCTTCACGGATTGAGGGCGGTTCCTTTGCAAAATGTGGCTCTCGCCTTAGCGCCGCGCACATTGGTTTACAACATTTTCGTGAGTTTCACGGGTTCCCATCATCAACGTACCAGAAATAGTGTTTCGGAAGGATTCAGGACTACGCGGGTGCAGCAGTTACGTTTGTTCTTTGCGTTGAAGTTCTAGGAATGGCGTTCTGGCACGATTCAGGATCGTCAAGACGCACAGTCAGGTTGATCCGTTGCGTTGGAATCCCGAGAAACATGTTTTGGCACGTTTCAGGGTCTTCAAGAGGATGTTTTTCAACGAGGCAGATCCATCACTGGAATTGAACCGTCGTAGGGGGAGCTTGGAGGGAGCGTTTACTCCAACATCGTCGATGACTCTTGGGTTTACACTGGTCCTCCTCCTCCCTCCCTCCTCCTGCTCCTGCTCCTGCTCCTCTTCCTCCTCCTTCTCCCTCCTCCTCCTCCTCCTCCTCCTCCTTCTCTGTTTCTTTGTGCGAGACCGTGGCCTCGGGAGCACGGATGTTTTTCGTTACCGGGCAAGTTGGCCTCGGGGGCGCGGATCCACCCGTTTTTCTGGAGGGATCGTGATCTCGGCAGCGTGGGTCAACATTTACACGGGATGGTGGCCTCGGCGGGAGCACGGATGTTTGTTGTTACCAGGTAAGTTGGCTTCGGGGGCGCGGATCCACCAGTTCTTCTGGAGGAATCGTGTCTTCGGCAGCGCGGACTTCACATTTACACGGGATGGCGGCCTCGGGAGGTAGGATTCACCGGCTTTTCTGGTTGAGGAAATGTGGTTCAGGGGAGTTTCAATTTGACAATCGGGCCGAGGTGGGTCGTGTCCGATTCCCAAGAAGCCTAGACGCGAATTCCTGGAGGGAGCGATCACAGCTGTGATGTGAGGAATGGCGAATTGCGATCCACGCTGACAGAGTTTGAAAGGATGTGTTCAATCAAGGGAGGAAAAAAACCACCCGGACCGGACAATTGGCGTTTACGAAATGGCCCTGGGCGTTTATTAAACAGCTCTGCCTTGTTTGATTCCTTATTTGGGCGCGTCTACTAAACGGCTTCGCGTTTCGGGGTGGTGATTATCGGGGTGGATGTTCTGCCCTCTATTCGAGTTTCGGCTCGTCCCCTTGCTCCGAGGAAGACGAAGCTGCGCAGCTGCTGAGGCTCAGTTGCTCAGGCTCAGACGTCGCATGCGGATGCCCTCCGCAAGGGCGGCCAGCGGATTGCTTTTCCCGGGATGTCCCTCCTCCTCCCTTCCTTCGGGGGCGGCTAAGGGGGGGGGTGATGACCAGGGGGGTGCATCTCATGGCGTGGGCCATTATATTTCCCCAGATTTCATGGCGCCTCTTCTTATTTCATTGCGTCCCTGGCCCCCCCTTGGTCCGCGCACATGCCGCCGGCCATGATTTGCACCGCCCCCCTCTTGGACGCCCCCCTCTTGGCCGCCCCCGATTCGTGTTCTTCCTTCCCTCATCATTATTCCCCCTCAGTTGCAGTCGTCGCCGAAATCATGGGGTCGCAGTGTGAGGCGCTGACAGAGCTGCCTGAATAGGTTTCGTTCTAGAGAGGGTTCACATTGTTGATTCGTTTGCTTGACGGTGCGGCGAAGCCTCCACATCGGGGGGCCGCTTGCGTGGAGCGATACCGGGGTATCTCTTGAACCCAGGGGCTTCGAGGGGGGAGCCAGAATCTGGGTGAACGTGCAGTACATCCACACAACCGACAGGGTGTGTCAGTATTGTTGTTTGACCCTCTGCATGCGGCAAGTGCCAGCGCAGCACTCCCTGTTTCGACGCTTCCAGCATCTCCCAGAGGGCCGTAGCATGTGAAGCCCGCCTTTCTTTTCCTCGAGGGGCTTCGATGCGACTCGCATGGGCCGTCTTGAGACTCTCTTGAGACTGTGCGGGGGCCGTCTTTGGGGGCCTCTTGTGAGTTTCTGCAACCGTCTTGGGCACTCTTTTGGGGCCCTCTTCGAGCGGGTTGCCCGTCCCAGGCAGTCTGGGGGCGCCTCTCAGGACCCTCGTGAAGCTCTTCTGGGATCGATTCGTCTCCTCCCAGACCATCTTGGACCATTTTTCTTTGGACATATCCCAAAACAAACCACAGCGTGCATCTCAATATGCGCTGCTCCGTAACGGATGCATCAGCGAAGTCACCTCTGTGCAAGAACGCGTTGTCATTTTGGTTGGAGTCGAGGCCGCTCTTTGGAAAGACATCATATTGAGGCTGGCAACAATGTGTTGCGGAACATCCATGCCGAAAGTCAAACGCCGAAGCATGGGATCCGTGGCGCCCACAGTTTAAGCACTGAAGCAATACAACCATGTGCAGGTGTTTGAGTGATCTCGGCATTCTTGGGAGTCTGTTTGGCCTTCTTCGCTGTCTTGGAAGCTTCTTGGGGCTATATTGGCTCCTCTTGGGGTCTTCTCTGCTTTTCTTGGGTGCCACTTGACGCAATGTTGAGCCAGCTTAACGGCCCTGGGAAGTCTTGCAAGCCTTGGAAATCCGCGGGGAGGCCTCAGGGAGGCGCCGGGGCATGCAATTGGGCGTGTGGAGAGGCCCCACGGAGATCCTCGGGATGGGGGTGGTGGTGCATGCGAGTGGGCGTGAGGAGAGGGAGGGGGGCTTCTACTGATTCCCCCTTACAGGGGGCATCTCCAAAAATACTAAAAAAATAGCCAGGGGATTATTTTTTGTTATTTTGTAACCATTTTGGAATATTTTTAGATTATTTGTCCCAAACCATGCTCACACTCAAGGGTCCTTAAGTCTCTATAGGGAGCTGGGTCCGCGGGCCGCCATGCAGCCGCCGTCGCCGCCCGTCCCGCGGGCCGCTCTGGTCGCCATGTCGCCGCCGTCGCTGCCGCGTCGCCGCCCGCCGCCTGGGCCTGCGGGCCGCTCGGGCCGCCTGGTCGCCGAGTCCTCGCCGCCTCGTCGCCTCGTCGCCGCGCGCTCTTGCATTGCTTGGCGTTGCTTGGCATTGCCCGGCGTGGCCTTGCAGTGCTGGGCACCGCGTGGCGTGGCTTGGCATTGATGTCCACTGCGTTGCGCTGCGTGGCATTGGGTTGCACTCATTTGCATTGGTTTCATTGCGTTGCCGTCTTTCCGTTGCACTGGTTTGCGTTGCTTTGCATGCACCGCATAGCTTGCACCACTCATATTGCACCGCATAAACTGTACTACATAGCTTGCTCCACATATATTGCACCACGTATATTCTCCTTTCTAGAAAGAGAATAGACTCTACCCCCCCCCGGACATAACGCTTCCCCTTGGGATAGTATAATTTCATATATATTATATATATATATATATATATATATATATATATTCCGCACACTCGTCCATCCTAAATATGAAATCATACCATCCCAGGCAGGCTGGTTTCCCCCCCCCCCCCCCCCGAGGTTCCCTTGTAAAAAACACTATGCGGTGACATTTTTTATTCTAACATAGCACTTTTTCACGAATCCCTTGCAACAACTGGGACGAAGTGCACACGTGCGCGTCGTCGCGCGCATGCCGAAATCCTTCAAAAACCTTGGATGTCGGAAGGATTTCGCAATCGAGTTTCCAAAAAACATACAAAAACACATGGTTTCGCAACACTGATTTGCTAAACAAGCTTCCGCGCGAGCTCTTGCGAAATCTGAAGAACACTATGGTTTTTCAAGATTTTCACAAAATGCTACCAAACGGGCGTCGCGCGCGCGCACGTCGAAATCTGTCGAACGCCCTTGCGCGTGTGCCGTCGCGAGAATCCTCTGCAAAAAAGAGTGCGAAGTGCAGACGCGCGCGTCGTCGCGCGCGTACGCCGAAATCCTTCAAAACCCATCGGTTTCGGAAGGATTTCAAAATCGCGCGTCCAAAAAACTTAGAACAACCCATGGTTTCGCAACACGGATTTTCAACAAAAGCGTGCGCGCGCGCTCTTGCGTCGTCGTCGTCGTCGTCCTCCCTCTTCCCTCGTCGTCGTCGTCGTCGTCGCCGTCGTCTTCTTCTGTCTTTCCTCGTCGTCGTCGTCGTCTTGGCGTCGTCGTCGCTTCCGTCGTCGTTGTTGCCGTGGTCGTCTTTCCTCCCTCGTCGTCTTCGTCGGCGTTTCGTCGTTGTCCCTCCTATTTCGTCGCCGCCGTCGTCGTCGTCGTCGTCTTCACTCCTCCCTCGTCGTCATCCTCCTCCCTCGTCGTCGTCGTCGTCCGTCGTCGGCGTCTTGTCGTCGTCCCTCCTATTTCGTCGCCGTCGTCGTCGTCGTCTTCGTCGTCGTTGTCGTCGTCTTCGTCTTCCCTCCTCCCTCGTCGTTGTCGTCGTCGGCGTCGTCGTCCTTCCTCCTTCTTCGTCGTTCGCGTCGTCGCCGTCTTCCCTCATCCATCGTCGTTGTCGTTGTTGTCGCCGTCGTCGTCCTCCCTCCTCGCTCGTCATCGTCTTCGTTGGCGACGTCGTCGTCGTCGTCGTCGTCGGCGTCGGCGTCGTCGTCGTCTTCGTCGACGTCGACGTCGGCGGTGTCGTCGCAGTCGGTGTCGGCGGCGCCGTCGTCATCGTTGTCGCTGTCGTCGTCGGCGTCGGTGTCGTGGCCAAGTGCCATGTGGTACCTACCGTCACGGTCTTGTCTCAAGAAGTCTTGCGACCAAGTTGCGGGTGGGTGGGTGGGATGTTTGCGCGAGCAGTGGAGGTGGTCAGGCGCGGTGCAGGGTAGTCAATTGCCCCGCATAGATTGCACCACATCGAATGCATCACATAGCTTGCAACGCATATATTGTCCCACATAGCTTGCACCTCGTATATTACACCACATCGGTTGCACCACATAGTATGCTAGAGTACGTTGTGTTGGGTCCACGCTGGCTAACATCATAGAGACGTTACCTGGCAGCATTCTACCACGCCTCGACATGTCAGGGTAAACCACATTGGCCGTGCAGCTCGTTTCATTCTGACGAAGGGGGTATGAGGCTAATTGGTAGTTTTCTTCTGTATAGGATGCATGTGTATGTTCAGCCCCCCCAACCCGCACCACAGTATCCGCCGTGTCGTTTCCATGCGCGCCACGTGTTGGCATCACGGGGATTTCTGCTTACACCCCGCGGTGGCACTTCGCTATCCTTGCCCGTAGCTTTTGTGCGCAAGCGCGTGCAAACGAATTGTTAACGCCGCATTTGATTCCTGTATTTGCACCGCCCATGCGCACCGCACGTCACATTATACGGCTCCTCCATTGTCTGCGCATTGTACAGATAGATGCGGCGCGAGCAAATTAGCGCCATGCAGGTAGTGTATAATTATATCACCATTGCGTCGTGAGCGTTCCATGGGTTTGTCTTACGGGCTGGCCTGTTGTTCCATGTCATTGCAATGCATTTCGAAACCCGTTCGCGTACACTCCGAGCTTCTTCCACGGTGCACACCGCGCGCGCATTCCTCATCCAATGTTTGGTTGTTGCTTTCGTGTGAATATCAGTTCGGGTTATTGTGTTACAATTGCTTCGATAATAGACACTCCGTGATATTGATTATTCAAATGTTGCATTATTGTCTGTAGACGGGTGCCCCAACTACGCAAGCATAGTACGTGTGCCTCAGCATCATTTTGGCCACCGCATCATCACTGCCCCAGCCAGAAAAAGGAAGGAGGAGCGCAGTACCACGTTCAACGTGGAGTGGATGCTGTGTCCAGAAGACCAGGCTAGCGCCACTCCCCTTGAGGCGCTTGCCACCGCGTACAACAACTTGGGCATCTGCCTCAAGAATGCGGGGCAGATGAGCGAGGCTTCCCAATGTTGTGACTTCCCTATTCTCCTTCTCATGGTTTTGCGTGGTGACTGCACACTGCCCATGCGGAGGTGTGTATCAAGGGAGGAAGAACCACCCGGACCCGACACTTGACGTCTAACAAACGGCCTTCGGCGTTTACTAAACAGCCTTGCCCTGTTTGATTCCTTGTTTGGGTGCGTTTACTAAACGGCTTCGCTTGCCAGGGTGATTATTATGGCCCCCTCTAGTACATGCGTCCGCGTTTTGGGTCTGCAAGGAAGTGGACCAGTCGAATCCCAGCATTTGGCCAACGCCAAGATCCACTTGTACGTCGGCGTGCCCCTTGCCCCCCCCCCTCCCCAGGCCTTCCTCCTCCTTCCTCCTCCTCCTCCTCCTCTTCCTCCTCCTCCCCCCCCTCCTCCTCCTCCTGCTCCTCCCCCCCCACCCCCATTGCACCGACTGGCCATGTGGTGTCCTGGCAGCGCGGTGGCGTGACAGGGCAGCTGAAAGACACCGAACAACTCATTGGAAAACAGACACGTTTCTGCAAAGCCTGGAACATGAGTGAATGACAACAAATGGTAATCCTGCGATTGTGAAGCAGCAACTGGGAAGAAACATTGGACACCCCTTGGCTGGCAATCTGAGAAAGGGTACGGTGGGAATTGGGGTCTATTGTCGCATGTTGACAGCCACGTCTTTGCCACATCTCCCCGAGTGGCTTGTGTTTTGCATGGGTGGGTGCATGGGTGACATATTTGCTGATTATTGTTAAGGCGCGTTGCTGGTTTTCTCTGTTGACGGGCCAATAGAGCAAATGTTCATTGCTGATTTTATATGTTCTGTTTGTAGTTTCTCGGCTGTATTGTTAAACATGTCGAATGCACCAGATGAGGGCATACTTGCATGGGGGCTGCATTTTGCCAGTGGTGTCGCCATGTGGGCAACAAGGCGTGTGGATTGCAATGGTGATGTTAAGATGTGGGTTGTCGTTTGTTGTACCTCTTGTAGGTTCCCTTTGCAGCTGTGTGGTACTTGTGGTATGCCGGTGCCAGTATTCAGTGCTGGTCGTTTGTTCTAGTGGATGTTCGCTGATTTAGCAGACTGTCAGTCGCTGGGCATGTGTCTGTTCAGGCGGCCCCCGCATGCAATCCCATTAATAGCGCACCTTCTACCTGCGGCACACCCTTGGGAACGCCATGCAGGATGACACTACAGTAAACCGGCGTGAATGAGGGGCTCTTCCCGCAAGGTCACCTTGCATCGATTGGTTCTGACAATCCTTACCATAGCACGTTTCGGCGCGCGCATCCCTGGTTTTGGGACGCACTGCTGCAAACAGTTGCACTACGCAGAGGTCTGGAGCCAGACCACCCCTCCTCCCCCCCCCTCCCGCCCAATGTCCAAACGCCACGTGTCCAGGAGGAGGTGGAGGAGGAGGAGGAGAAGGAGGAGAGGGAGGAGGAGGAGAAGGAGGAGGAGGAGGAGGGGAAGGAGGAGGAGGAGGAGGAGAAGGAGGAGGAGGATGGGCTGGGGACTGGGGCGGGCGGGGCGGGCTCCTCTCGAGAATCACAGACACCCTGCCAGACAGGCAACAGAGGCGCTCTGGCACGCCGCAGCGTGCCAGGGCCACAGCCGTTGCGGCTATACGTGCAGGGCGGGTGTGTCACGCGCTTCGTGCACCCTTTTTGTTGATGGGGTGGCGAGGAGGTTGAGGGAAAGGGGAGGGATTCGCAGTCTGATTTACAGGTCGATTATCGTCCGCATGGGCACATCGGTTTTCATACTTCGATTGCATTGCCATTCGGCGTCTTTTCTCCAAGTCGATCTGCTCGTCGATTGGCGTTGCATGTGCATTCCGTTACGCACGTCCACTGATATTCCGATGTGCGTTTGCATGTGCATTTCGTTGATCAGTTCGATTGAGTATCGAATTGTTGTTCGACGTGTTTTTCGAAACGCATGGCGGTTGTCATTGGATGTGCAGGTCGTTGTTGTTCGGTCGGTGGGTATGTAGGACGATAAGTTCATATTAGATGCGCACCTCCGACATAGATACATCCGCATAAAGACACATGTCTGTGTGTTGTCATTTCGCTATGGTTGTCGCCATGTCTGTGCTTAATGTCTATGTCGCTTGGTATGTCGACAACCTTGTTGTGATCACAATTGGATAGTCATTGCACGCTGCACCTTTATTATATATATATATATTGATTCATATTCCCGATGTAGTGAGGATTGCATTCTGAATTGAAATTATGTGTCGCGATGAGCATGTGGCCAGTATGCGTAGTTGGGGGATCGATTGTTGTCAGATGTTCAGCATGTCTCGCATTTACATGTGCAGGCTTCTTTACACGTGCGTAGTCTACGATATGCATTTCGACTTGCGTGTCGAAGATGCTTGATGTGCATACCGATTGCAACCATAGCTGCAGCTCGCTTAAGTTGTTTCCAAACTTGCCGATGTCTGTTTGATGTCCAGTTCGAGTTTCCGTTCGAATTGCATTTAGATGTGGGTTTCGATTTACCTTGTTATTCATTTTCGGCACGCCTTCGATGTGTACTATTGATGTGCGTTTCCACTGGGATTTGCAATCTCAGCACGTTTTTTGTATATGCAGATGTTGACTTCGACATGGCGCGCAAATTCGATGTGCACAGTGGTTTCCACAATGTGCGAAGTTTGATTTTGGCATTCATGTTAATTGGACGCGCAATTCGATCTGCATTGTCATGTGGATTTCTATGCTCATGTCGATGCTGCGTGTTTCGCTTTGCATGCCGATTGCAGATCGATCCGTAATTCGATTTGCATCTGCGGCGGAGCAACCATGACATAACCCCTGGGACAACCACGGGACAGAGACGGGGCAATGCCGGGACAACCCACGAGACGGGACAACCCACGAGACGGGACAACCACAGGGACAACCCACGCGAGAATTACGGGACAGATACGGGAGAACCACGGGGACAGCCCACGGGACAAACCACGAGACAACCACGGGATAGCCACGTGACACCCACGGGATGACACCCACGGGACCACAGCAGGTGAATTGCGAGACAATCGACGGGACAACCACGACACAACCGACGGGACAACCGCGTGACAATCCGTGGAAAACGTATGGTGCAAACACAGATCAACCTCGGGACAGCGCCCAGGACAACCACGGGAAAACCATGGGACAATTCATTGCACAACCCACGGAATAATCTTTTTGTTTCCCAACCATTTTGTGGTGTTGGGTTTTCGTTTTGCAGAGAGCGCATCGCGTCTCGTTCCCTCCCGCTGTTATCCCCCTCCTCGCTGCTCATCGTCATTGTCACCATATTCATTCCTGACCATTCTGTGGTGTTGGGTCATCGTTGGGGATAGACAGCGCCCCGCGTTCCTCCAACTCGCCCCTCCTCCCAAGCCTCCCATGGCTGCTTCTGCCCTCCCCGCCCGGTACAGCGTTTCGTGGCCCCATAGGGAGCTCCACCGAAGGCCACGGTGGCTGTGATCAAATGCGTCCGCGCCCGAGAATACAGCGCTCCGTGGCACCATAGGGAGCTCCATCGAAAGCCCCTGTGGCTGTGACCACATGGGTCCCGCGCCACCCAGTACAGCGTTTCGTGGCCCCATGGGGAGCCCCACCGAAGGCCCTGTGACTGTGATCACAGGCGTCCCGCGCCACTTAGCACAGCGCGTCGTAGCTCCACAAGGGACCCACCGAAGGCAGCGGCTGTGATCACATGCGTCCGCGCCCGAGAACTCAGCGCTTCATAGTCTCATAGGGGGTTCCTCTGAAGGCCTCAGCGGATGTGATCACATGCGTCAGCGCAAACAGTACAGCGTTTCGTGGCCCGCAGGGAGTCCCACCGAAGGCCAGACCCAGTGGCTGTGATCATATACATGCTTTCCACTCCACTCAGTACAGCGATTCGTCGCCCAAAAGGGAGCTCCACCGACGGCCTCTGTGGCTGTGATCACATACGTCCGCGCCCGAGAACTCAGCGCTTCGTAGTCCCATAGGGAGCTTCACCGAAGGCCTCAGTGGCTGTGGTCGCATGCGTTCCGCGCCACGCAGTACAGCCTTTTGAGGGAGCTCCACCGAAGGCCACTGCGGCTGGGATCGCATGCGCCCGCGCAAACAGCACAGCGTTTCGCGGTCCGTGGGAAGTGGGGAGCCCCACCGAAGACCACATTTGCTGTGATCACCACGTGCGTCTGCGCCACCCAGTATAGCGCTTCGTGGGCCCAGTAGGGGGCCCACCGAAGACAGTGGTTGTGACCACATGCGTTCGCGCCACCTAGCACAGCGTTCCGTGACCTCATAGGGAGCTCCACCGACGGCCCCAGTGGCTGCGACCACATGCGCCCGCGCCGCTCAGTATAGCGCTTCGTGGGCCCATCGGGAGATCCGCTGACGGCCCGAGTGGGCTGCGATCACTGGCGTCCCGCGCACCCAGTACGGCGTGTCGTGGCCCCAAAGAGAGCTCCACCGAAGGCCACAGCTGCTGTGACCACCTGCGTCCCGCGCCGCCCAGTGCAGCGCCACGTGGCCCATAAGGAGCTCCACATAAGGCCCCAGCTGGAGGGTTCGCATGGTGCCACCGCACCCACTTCGGCACAACCTTCACACGCTTCGCGGCCCGACGCGGAGATCCACCCAAGGCCCCAGAGGTAGGGCCCGCCTGGCGCCACCACACTCATTTCGGCACACCCCTCACACGTTTCGTGGCCCGCAAGGTCCGCATGGCGCCGCCTCCCACGTTTCATGGCAATATGGGGAGTACTACCGAAGGCCCCAGTGGCAGGGTCCGCGTAGCGCCACCATGCCCATTTCGGCATACATCTCACACGTTCCATGGCCCCATAAGGTATTCCACCGAAGGCCCCAGTGGAGGGTCCGCATGGCGCCACCGCACCCGTTTCGGCATACCTCTCAGACGTTTCGTCGTTCTATGAGGGCTCCACTGAAGGCCCCAGTGGCAGGTTCCGCATGGCGCCACCACATCCATGTCGGCTCACCCCCCACACGTTTCGTAGCCGCATGGCGTACCCGCACCTGATTCGGCACACCCTCACGCGCTTCGTAGCCCAACAGGGGGCTGCCCCACTTTCACCCAACCTGCCTTGCAGTACTCGCATCTGCATGTGGATGGGTCCCGTCGCCAGGACAAAGTTAGTGTCCGCGAGACGGGGGCAGAGCCGTGTTGCCCATCTTTGCCATAGCTTTGGCTGAAACCTCGTCTCCCTTGCGCGGCCTCCCCTCGCCCGCAAAGTCGGCATTACTTGAAGTCGAAACAGATGTCCAGATCGGGGCAGGTGTTTCACACCTTCCATTTCCAACACTTGTCTAGACACTCGTAGAGCCAGACAGTTTGCATAGCATGACGGCCAACTCAGAATCACAATGTTTGAACAAGAAGCGAGGCGACGTCCGATGCTATGTAGTGTAGTCGGTAAGTATGCAGTCGGTATGCTTAGGGGACTTGTCAGCGCAGTAAATCAGGCGACCAGCGCAGCACATGATCGAATGTGCTCTCAAATATGTTAGGCCTGTCGCGTATTGATATTTACGCGGTGTTATGGGGTATTGGTTCATGTTCAGTTTAACATAACAAGCGATCAGACCTGGCCAAACGGAGCGCAATCCGCCCGCCTAAATTGCACAGTGAGTTCTCCCGTGCCTAGAGTGTCGGCAGAGCTCGCTCTGAGGCGACCGAGGCAGTTCGGCCAAGTATGGTATAGAGTCAATGAGAATATCCAGGGGCTTTGCGGGCTTCAGAATTTGTTTCAGGGCGCACACACCTTGCCGCTCGGCATGCATGGCGTGCAGCAGCCAATGTCGATCCTGCCGTGCCGCGTAATCTCTGCTGGATCAGTATCCCCAGCCTTTCTGAGCACCCCCACTCGGGTCAACAGGCCCTAGGGTCAACAGGCCTTCCAGGTACCGTTCCATTCTCTTCGGCGTCTGACGCTTGCCTTGACGCCAGCTGAGATCAGCATGTGGTCACTCCGTTGTTATTGATGCTCCCCGTGTGCTCGTATCGTGGATTTTGGCGAGGCCAAGGCCTGGTGAGCGAATCGCACATTTCATAGATGGCTGCCTTACCATGCCAGCTCTCGGCGAGGCGATAGATGCCTTGAACAACGCATACATGCGCGCTACCAACGGCGACGACAAGATGGCGACCATGCAGGCCATGCAAGTGGTGCAGAACCTGGCCCAGTGCTTGCGGGTGAGCTTTGCCGCCTAAAGGAAGAGGGGAACAGCATCGGCGTACGACATGGAAGAGATAGGAAACAGGGAACATCCGTGGAGCCTTGGCGCCACATGAGGCAGACGGGTGTGACGTAGCGATAGTTGGATGTGCGATCCAATGTTTGAGAATCCCTGTTTCGAGATTTTGTGCGCAGCGCGTGTGATATGAGAGATCCCCATTCGATTCTTCGCGTGATGAAGTCATGCGGTGCAATTTCCGCCAGTGCTGCAGAACCTCGTCACCCAGCTGTTTGGCCCGGCATCGATGAAAAGGGCGAACGGACTGTTCCAGAGAACCCGACATGCCAAGACAGGATCCGAGAGCAAGACCGCGCACGCTCACAAGGAGGAGGGGGAGAGGGAGAGAGGAGGGAAGGTGGAGGAGTTGAAAGGAAGAGCGTGGGAGGGAAGGCGAGAGCAAGCAGGAGGGGGAGATGCAATGGAGGAGGAGGAAGACGACGACGACGACGACGAGAGGAGGAGGAGGAGGAGGAGGAGGAGGAGGAGAAAGAGGAGGAGGAGGAGCAGCAGGAGGTTTCCGAGCAGGAACGGGAGGACGAGCCGGAGGAGACGAGCGCCCGAGGTCCAGAGAAAGATGCGCGAGGCGGAGCAGATGTTCGCGCGCGCCCTCGAGATCGGGAACCGCCTCTGCGGAGAGGACGGCGCCGCTCCGAGTCTCCGGTCGCGGCGGCTCGACGAGACCTCAACGGCACCGTAACGGGTACTTATTAACGGGTACTTTGCAATTTTGCCGAAAGTTGCCACTTTAGGGCCTCTTTCTGGCAATGCAGCGTTGCCCGCATCGGGAAGGGTTGGGTTCGCTGGGTCACTGGCCAAAGTACCCGTTAGTGGAGTCCCCGTTTGTGGGGCGCTGAAGACCTCGCCCCGGAGCGCGTCGGCTGCGACGCGAGAGGCCGGCGGCGAACGCTGCGGCCATGCTCTGTGGCGTCCGCGCGCGTGCGTGCACGGCGGGGGCACGCTCGTGGCACGGCTGCGCTCGCTCGTGTGAAGTCGGGCATGTCCCTCCAGAGGAGGAGCATTCAAACCTAGGAAAGAACTTTTGTCAGGGGACGATTTGTTGTAGTAATTTTTTGAATTTGATGGAATATGTTTTGGCTATTTCTATTGGTCGTCCAAAATCGGCCTGTGGGGGGGCGTGCTCGACTCGACGCTCCTGGCCCAGCTGTGCAGGCGCATGCGTCGGGCCGCACCTGGGCTGCTGCGCCGACCGGGTGCTCGGGCGACGCAGGTCCGGCGGCGAGCGCCGTCCAGCGGCGCGGGCTTGATGCGCAGGTCGGCGCTCCAGGATCAAGGGTGCATCGGTGCCCTGCGTGTCCCGTCCCAGGCCCCCTCGCGTACTCCAGATTTCGTAATAAAAGGGAGGGGGGGTCTCATTTCGGGGGGGGGGGGGGTCTCTTCCAGGCTATCTTGGAGGGCCTGGGGGGGTCTGGGGACGATGTTTTGGAGGGTTCTCCCACGGGGGAGGTCTGGAATGGCTTGTCTTGGAGGGTCCAGACCCCCCTCGCTTTTATTACGAACTCTGGAGTATCTTCTCCGCTCAAAAGCTCGTCTGCGGCACGCCACCCTGCGCGGCTCGCCCGCTTCCTGCCCCTCGCCCTCCTCTCTGCCACCGAGAGCACCGGGGCCCGCCGCTCGAGCAGGCGCCCCGGGCGCACGCCGGACGCGCCCGGGGTCTGGGCGGGGGTCGCCCTCCCGCCCCCGCGTGCTGGGGCCGCGTGGCCGCTCACAGTGCGGGGGGAGGGCCAGGCTCGAGGAAGTGCAGGCCTGGACTCAGGTGGGCGAATTGGCGACGGCTCCCGCTTCCGGACGACCTCGACGTGCCCCGTCGCCGGATCGGGCGGCCTTGGCCGCAGGCTTCGGGGGCAAGGGAACAGACACGCACGCAGGCGCAAGGAGTCGTCGACTGCCCGGAGCATGTGGGACATACGGGAAGATTTTGGGGGGAAGGCGAGAGCCCAGAAGCCGTAGGACATACTGGGGGGTCCCGGGATTCGTGTGTACTTGTGCGCGTGCCTCTGGACCCCGCGCCCTCCGGCCGCCGGAGGCCCCGCCCGCCCGCGCCCTGTCTCCCCAATGAGTGCTTTGCGCGCCCCGCCTAGCTCTTAACCGGAAGAGGCTCCCTAAGGGCTTGTCGACTTTTCGCCAATCGACTTGTGAGAATCGAGCCAGATAAACCCAGGTAAATGCAGATAAATCGAGGTAAATCCAGGCCAATCCAGGTAAATCTAGATAAATCTGGGTAAATCCAGGTAAATCCAGAGATCTCCAGGGAAAGTTCGAGCACTTCGCGGCCGCTCCAGCGCGAGTCGAAGGACGGCAGAAGTCGTTGAGCCTTTAACGAGAGGCCCGCTCTCGACCCGCAGACCAAAGAGTGCGTGTCGCTGGGCCCTTCCAAGGTCGACGTTCGGGCGACGACATCTATACACATCCATTGCTCCCTGGCCAGGCCCATCCGGAACCCAGGAGTTGTGCATACGCCCTCCTGGCCACGCCAGGAGGGCGCAGCGTATACACAGCTGCTGGGTTCAGGATGGGCCTCGCCAGGGAGCAGTGGACATGTATAGATGTCGTCGCCCCTAGACGTGTGCCCGACCCTGGGCGGCGGCACGCCCGTGCGGCGCCCAGGGGGTGCAGGACGGCGCTCGGGCGTGCCCTTTTGCCCAGGGGCCGCTCCCGCCCCGAGGGGGTCTTCTCGGCGGCGGTGGCCTTCCTTCGAGCAGTGGCGAGGCGTCCTGGCGTGCCTACAGGCCTGCCAAACGATGCCCTGAGAATCTTTATGTGTCGGGGGTGGACAGAACCCCCAACGGTGACACGTCGATTAGTGAATTGTCCGTTTTCGGCTTTCGAGAGGGCGCCGTGGCCGTTATTTTCCAGGCTTGCGCCCGCCGGGTTTGGGCCCGAGGTCGTTTTCACTAAACCACGTTTTGCTAAAGGGGGTTCTGTCCATCCCCGAATGTGGTCTTTTTTTCAAGAGATGTTCTTAGAACATTGCTGGCTGGGCCTGGCTCGTTTTTGTCGCATCGGGTCTATGTTCTTCTAAGATCATGGGCTTTGTTCTTACGACAAGTATGGGTTCTGAGAGCATCTCGTGGTATAGGCCTCTAGGAATGCCAGGACCTTCGGTCCCTGCTCAATGCACTTCTCCTCTGGCAGTGATCGAAGAAGAACATGCGGCACAACCATCAACGTTTGGCGCTCCGCGCGGGGCTCTTGGGTCCGCACTGGGCCCCCCTGGGCTGGGCGCGCTCCGCGCGCCCAGGGGGGAGGGGTCTAGCGCAGATCCCAGAAATCCGTGCGGAGCGCCAGAAGTTGATGTTTATGCCGTTGTTTCTTCTTCTCTTCTTCTTCTTCTTCTATGACAGTGAGCGGGGGGTTGACAAGTTGTTCAGCACGGGCCTGTCGGTGATCAGAATCACGTGCCCGTCATCCTCGGGGTCCACGCAGCATGCGCCGTTCGACCGCATCTCCCAAGGTACCGACACAACGTGTGCCATCGCGGCTATGGCTACGTGCGCTTGGCATTCAGCCCGTCGCTTAGGCAACGGGCACAGTAATGCACGTCCCCATGCCAACCAGGAAGTTCAGATTATATCTGATCGAGATATCTCCCAGTTGCTGCTCTGGCAAAGTGGTCCGACAGCACCTGAGAGGAATTTGGGCAACATCACGTTGGCTTGGGAGTATGCTCGATCTGCCGAAGACTTCCCCAGCAGCGAATCTAGTTTTATTAGCTGGTAAGTTTCTCAATCGGCCAGCCCTCTTCTGCAGATGGACTTCGGTGGACAAGATGGCAGCATTCGCGAAGTTTTGCATGTGGGGTGCGAGTGCAGAGGCCGATCCAACAGTGGATTCTACCGCGCGACACGTCGGATGTCTAGCACGTGTGCCAGGGGTGTGGAGGCCATCCCGCGATGTGGATAGCCAGTTGCCTTGGCGCCCCCATGGGGACAGTGATATTGCTGATCAGTGCTGATCATTTGGCTAATCATACCATAGATTCGCCGCTTTCATGGACACATGCGTTTCACCTACTAAGTAGCTGTTTCGGGGTCAAGGATACCAGCCGCTTCCATTTACCTATAGTAATAGTTGTCACTTTTATGCAGGACCTCAACTCGTCATTTCAAGCGGAGTCCAGTACCCTCGACGACGTCATCGAACGTGGCATGATTGGTTGCCTAAGGCGTGCGGCTGTCAGATGGTTGGCCGAAGCTCCGGCGGAGAAAGAACGTACGTATCATAAAGAATGACGTGCCACACAGCTGGCATGGATGAAGTATCAGGCTCCGCGCGCGTGCTCTTCTGATATGCATATAGATGCGTGCGCATGTGTGTACATGCATGCATGCATATATATATATAGAGAGAGATATAGAGGAGCCACGCTTTCTTTCGCAGAAGAGGTTGTGGCGTCAGCTTTGAATTGTGGGCTGCGCAGGACCACTGCGCGAGCGCATTGAACCATCTGGGCTTGGCGCGATGTTTGCGCGAGCAGGGCAAGATCAAAGAGGCGATTATGTCCTACACAAAGGCAGCTGGGGCTGGCACGTGGGGGACCAGGAGGGAGGATGGAAGATAGGAGGGATAGATTTGCGTGAGAAGCAGGAGAGCAGAACGCAGGGATAGGAACCATGGCAACGGTGGAGGCGGTAGGGAAACAGCGGGAAAAGCAGCAGGACGCAGGTTGAGGAGGAGGATCGTGCCAAATGCCACATGTCAACCACCGACCGCCGCCGTTGTGAGCAAAGCGGGGTCGTGGAAAGGAGGGCAGCATATTGAGGGAGAGGACAAGGAGGCAGAGAAGATGGTAGGCGGAGTGGAGGAGAGTAGCGACAGTGCCCGCTACCTCGCCTGGTACGGAGGGGGTTCAGGCGGTACAGTAGACACATCCAATAGCTCATCGACCTGCCACCAGATGCCCCCAGGGACTCACAGAAGCTCTGGGGCACCTGAGGACCCTCAAAGATCGACCAAGACTGTGCTTACACATAGGCGTTCCACCGTATGTGGGCACCACAGGGATGCAAAGTTGAAGTGCCTCCATCGAGTCTGAGCCTGAACAGGAACGAATCGGCAGACGAACACGGTTTTTTCCCTACCTAGGCTCTGCCTAGAGGGTTCTTACTCGCTGGGCTTAAAGGGGCTGGGCAGTGGGCTCCGCCCCAGGCCCTGAGGCGGTTCCCCCGGTCCCCGCCCCGCGGTTCCCCCAGTTGCGCCCCCGTACCTTAGCTTTGCGTGTCTCATCTTAGCTTAGCTTAGCTTGGCTTAGTTTAGCTTAGCTTCATCTTAGCTTCGCGTAGCTGTAGCTGCAGCTTAGCTTAGCTTGGCATCTCATAGCATAGCCCAGCATAGCCTAGCATAGCGCAGCATATGATAGCATATCATAGCATAGCATAACATAACATAGCGCAGCATAGCAGAGCATAGCATAGCATATCATAGCGCAGCATAGCATAGCATACCATAGCCTAGCATAACATAGCGCAGTCTAGCGTAGCATAACATAGCGCAGCATAGCGCAGCATATAATAGCATAGCATATCATGACACAGTTTAGCATTGCATAGCATAGCATAGCATAGCAGCAAAGCAAAGGCAAATCAACGGCAGCAACAGCAACGCAACGCACAAGCCACGCAAAGCAAAGCAAACACAACAATAAAGCAAAGCAAAGGCAAAACAAAAGCAATGTGCAACAGTACGATCAGGGAGCCCACCCGGTGAGCGAATGCAGAAACATGCGTGTGTGTGCGAAGGCAAAGAAAAAGCAAAACCAAGCAAAAGCAAAATAAGCAAAAGCAAAGGCAACTACGACGATGAGGAGAAGGAGGACGGCGTTTACCGTTACTACTAATGCTGCTTTCTTAGGGGCTCCAACTCCTAGGTAGGGTCGCACTGGGGTAATTTGAAGAACATCCACGATGATGTTTGATCCAGTTGGCAGTTCAAGTCATCGGTCTCGTTGCAATCGCGCCAGTGATATAATTCCAAGTGTATCGAATATTATACCAAAACTTTATGCAACGCGGCAACCGTTGACGATGATGACGTTTGACTTGCGACCGTTTGCATGGCGACCGCTGACGATGATGACAGTGATGTATCGAAGGCGCCCTCGGCGAATCACCGCCGCCCCCTGCCTTTTGGGAAGCGCCTCTGTGGCTAAACGATGGGCCCACCTTGGCCAAGCTATCGGACTATGATTTCCCCCAGACGCTCTGGAAACCCTTGGGGGAGCACTTGGGAGAGGATGACAGGGGGGATCAGGAGAGGGTGGATGAGGAGGAGGAGGAGGAGGAGGAGGAGGAGGAGCAGCAGAAGGAGGAGGCCTCTAGGGAGCCTCTTGAGGCACTCTGCTACCTGTGGGCCTCTTGGAGGCGTCTAGGGGGCCTAGTTGGGCCTCTTGGGGGGCATTCAGCGCCTTCTTGGAGGCCTCTTTGGCCGTCTTAGGGCGTTCCTCGCCCATCTGACGCCGTCGACAGCCGTCTTGTGGGGCCTCTTTGAACTGATTTGGAGTCTCCCTGGGGTGCTTTATGGCCGTCTTGGACGCCATCTTTGACGTCTTGAAAGCCTCTTGTGCCATCTTGTGGCCCTCTGGGGCCATCTTGGGGGCGTCTTGGGCCGTCGTAGGGCAATATTGGAGGCTTCGTGGGCGATCTTTCGGCGATTTGGGGGGCCTCTTGGGCCGTTCTTGGCCGCGGAACGACGAACCAATACAAACATCTTTACATCCTCTCGTTTCGCAGGGTTCACGTCCAGAGCACGTACAGTCCAGACGTTATGGGGCCTGGTGGAAGCCTCTCGGGGGCCTCTTGGGAGCCTCTTGTGAGCGTCTTGAGGGCTTCTTGGGGCCTCGTGGTGGCTTCTTTGGGGCCTCTTAGGGCCTCTTAGCGGCGTCTTGGGCAGTCTTGGGGCGTTCTTGCGCCGTTTGGCTCCTTCGGAGGCCATCCTGTGGGCCTCTCGCGGCCGCCTTAGGGCTCTCTTTTCCTCTTGGGCCGTCTTGGGGGCCTCGTGGGGGCCTCTTCTGGAGCCGTCCTGGGACCAGCTTGGAGGCTGCTTTTGCCGTCATGGACCTTGAAAGATCGAACAACAGGAAAACGTCAAAATCTTTCAAACACTTCAGGAAACAGATTGGTGTTGGCCTCAGGAGTCGCTCGTGGGGGTCCTCTTGGGGCCCTCTGGGGCCTTCTTGGGGGCTTTTTGGGCCTACTTGGGGCCATCTTGGACCGTCTTGGGGTCGTCTTGGCCCGTCTTAAGGCCATCTTGAGCCGTCTTGACGTTCTCATGGGCCCCCAAGGGGCCCAAATCGTTGATTTCCCATACGGTTTCGTATTTTGCTGGTGCTCCAGAAGGGGGAGGGTGGGGGGGGGCATCCTAGTCGGCGGATGTGGTGTGGCCCCCGGGGGGGGGTCGGGGGGAGACAGAATAATGAAACATACTACAATATGTACAAAGTATGCAAATGTTGGATACATTGGATACGTTGCAGTACAGCATCCGCGGACCTGCCTCCGGCAACACGTCACTTCTGTTCACCTGAGCAACATCGATGATTCTACAGGCTTGCGTGGGTCCCACAGAGGGGCTGCAAGGCTGTGTTTCGGTACCTGACGTGTGTCGTGCATCGGGCCTGCGCGTTTTGTGACAGGCTGTCTAGATGTAACTTCGCGTTGTCGGGGGGACTTCTGGGATGCGGATTGGAAACGGGAGACCCTACGTGGGCGGCGGGTATTCAGCGCGTGGTGCCTTGTCTTGGGGGGCCAGCGATTCCAAGTGATGGAGTTGTTCGAGGTCTGGGCTGCGGTCTGGCAGGATGCCGAAAGCGAATGTCAATCTGAAGCATTGCTCGCGTTGCGTGCTTCCCAGGCCCTACGTAGACTGCGTGGTGAGTTCGACTCCCCCTCCTTCTTCTCCGCTGCTCGTCTTGACTTTGCTTCTTTCTGTCTCCATACCGTCCTCCGTCCTCCTCCCTTGTTGTTCCACATCCTTTCTCCCCTCCTCCTCTCGTTCCCTCCTACCTTCCTGTCCTCCCCCGGACTTTCCCCTTGGCAGTCCCTGCCTCCCTGCATCTGCTCCCATCTTCTCTCTTCTCCTCGCCACCCACCCCCTAGGCCATCCGCCTTCCTCCCTACGTCGTCGTCGTCGTCTTCCTCCGTCTGCACCAGCGTGCCCTCCCTGCCGCGCCCCCCTGCTCCGCCGATCCCGCGTGCGCAGCGATGCGATGAGCGTGTCTCAAGACGGCCCAGCAAGGCCCGAAGACGGTTTGAGAGAGCCCTAAGATTAAGTCGGGCCTGTCACCCTCTACAGGGGGAATATCCCACAATGGTCAAACGAATAGTCTGGGGGACGATTTGTGTTGCATTTGTTGGGCTACTTTATGGCATTTGTTTTTTATATCTTTTGCTCAAAATCTCCCTGTAGGGGGGCAGGCCCGACCTGACCCTGAAAGTGCCCGATGGGGGCACGGCAAAGGTCGGGGAGGCTCGCAGGACAGGCCCAGGAGGGCACAGGAAGCGCACAGGAGCATTCAGGGAACTCCTTCCCGACCGCGTCTCGAAGACTCATGGCGCCAACATTGTAGAGCGGATGTCGTTCGGAGAACGATAGGGTGGGCCCGGGGTGTCCTAGAGAATTTCGCTCCGGATTCCGAGGTGAATTTCATGCGATTTTTTTGGGGGGCCAGGGATGAAGACCCAAAATAATCCACGCGATATTCACTTTGTTTTTCGCTCGCCGCCTCGGGCAAACATCCACGCAGAAATCCGTTGCAACACGTCTGCAAGGCCGGTGCCATGAGATGACCGCATTAAGAGGCCAATTGTGGACCTTTTCGAGACTCTTGGGCTCGTTCTGGCGCTCTCTTGGGGCTCGTTCTGGAGCTCTCTTGGGGCTCGTTCTGGAGCTCTCTTGGGGCTCGTTCGAAGCCTCTTGGGGCTCGTTCTGGAGCTCTCTTGGGCCGTGGTGGGCGCCTCTTGGGCCATCGTGGGCTCTCGTTGGCCGGCGGAGTGCGAGCTGACGTGCGCGGCGTGCAGAGGATCTTCCGCGGACGCGGAAGACCTGAAGAAGACGTAAAGTGGAACATCACCAAAAGGAGGGCAGATTCGCGCTGTGTGCGAGACCTGCACGGGTCTGCATTTCACGGCACGCAGTTGGCAGGCGTATGATTGCAGCGGTGCGTGCAAAAGTTTGTGTCGGAATGGGCGTTCCCCGTAAGGTCTGATATCGCCCGCGCCGCAAAAGGACGGCGCGCTGAAGTTCAATGTGCTCACATGAGGAGCGAGAAGGAGGAATATGATTACGATTCTAATAATATATCAACTAATAATTGAAGAATCGTCATCATGTTGATAATGCTAATAATATTAATAATAATAATACTAATACTAATAATAATAATGCGCAAGGGGAGGAGGACGGGGAGGACGATGACGTGGGAGAGGAAGGAGAATGAGACGGGGGGGGAAGAGGGATAATAATTGTTATGGCACTGAACATGTTGAGGAGGAGGAGGAGGAGGGGGACGAGAAGGAACGGAGCGGGAGGAGGAGGAGGGGGAGGAGGGGGAGGAGGAACATCAGGAGGAGGAGCAGTGGGAAGGGGATGACGTGGGAGAAGATGGAGAATGATGCGGAGGACCGGGGGGAGGAAGAGGAGAAAGAGAACGAGGATACCGCCGCCCAGAGCAAATCTATATCTATGTCTATATATATACATATGTATGTCTATGTTTATGGTTGTGTATATATACATATATACATATCTATATTCACATATATGTACATTTATATATATGTATATACACTATACGCCCCCACCTGGCCCCGGGTCCCACACCTCCCCGCCACATCTCGGCAACGCTCCCGGTATCGCTCCCACGGCCTTTCTGGGGAGCTTCCACAGCGCCCCAGGAGGGCCCAAGGCGCCCCCCAGCAGCCCCCAGAATGCGAAAGGATGGCCCAAGACGCTCCCAAGCAATCCAAGTCAGCCTTCCGACTGCTCTAGAGGCTCCCAGGTGGCCTCCAAGAGACCCCAAGAGAGGTCCGAGCGGCGTCCCAGGACGTCCTGAAGAGGCCAAACTCGTAGACGGTCATTGATTTTTCCATGTTTTTGGCTTCTCGCGTTTTCGAGCTTCAACGGTCAAAGAGCGCCGAAGAGGCTCCCAAGACCGGCCCAAGACCACCCAAGAGACCCTCAGAACGGCCCCACGACGGGCCAAAAAGGCTCCAAGACTGCCGAAGAGGCGACCAGCACAGCTCCAGACCATCCCAGAACAAGCCAAAGATGAGCCCAAGAGCGGGAGCAAGAGGTTTCCAGAGACCTCCGAGAGGCCTCCAGGACCACCCAGAGGCCCCCAACACACCCCCGATCCTTGAGATGCCCCCAAAAGACCCCGACGAGGCTCCAAGAACAGCCCAAGAGAGCTGCGAAAGCCGTCCCGAGAGAGCCCAAAGAGGGCACAATCGTTGATTTCCAATGGTTTTTCCATTTCGCCTTCTCACGTTTTCCCGCTTCCAGCTTTCAAAGATCAAGGATTCAGAGAGAATAAAAGGGAATTCCAATACTTTGTTTCTTCAAAGAGAACTCCTATTCGGGGGCCCTACACATCCCTTGACATCTGGCCGGTACCGCGCGTCCTGGCTTTTTGGGGAGACCGCAAGACGCCGAACGACAGCCCATGACCACCCCAAGAAGCTCCCAGAACGTAAAGAACGGCCCAAGATGCTCCCAAGCAGTCCGAAACACCCTGTGGACGGCTTTCCACGCTCCCAGAAGGCCTCCAAAAGGCTCCAAGAGGTCCGAGAGGCGTCCAAGGAAAGCCCGAGGAGGCCAAAATCGTAGATTTTGATTGTTTTGTCAATGTTTTTGGCCTTCTCGCGTTTTCGGGCTTCCGACGGTCCAAGACCGCCCCAAGACCGCCCAAAAGACTCAGGACGGGCCCAAGACGGGCGAAGAAACCTTTCAAAATTGCCGAAGCGGCGCCCGGTACCGCGCCCCCCCTTCTTTTTCAAAGTGGATTCCTACTCGAAGATCCCACACATCCCCTGACATCTGGCTGGTACCGCCCCCAGAACGAAAAGAACGTCCCAACACGCTCCCGCGCAGCCCGAGACCCTTCCGACGGCTCTCCAGGCTTCCAGGAGGCCTCCAGAACCCCCAAGGGGTCTGGAAGATCCCACACCCCTTGAGGGGCCCGGCTAACACTACCCGCGAGTCACAAACAAACAGCAGCGCCGAAGAGCGCCGAGGATTTGGACAAAAATGGGAATCCCACAATTCCTCTTTCATTTTTTCAAAGTTCGGCCCCCGGTCTAGTCTTGCACGACAGACCACAATTCAGACCCCCCTCATCTCCCCCAAAAAACAGGAAGCCTTTGAGGGCCCCAAATCGTTGAACATCTAAAGGGAATTAATGATTTCTGCGTTTCCACACTTCCCCTTCGATACGATTCCGAGGCTTGCACAGGGCCTCCAAGGGAGCCCCTGGACGCAAGGAGCGACCAACATGATATTGCATGAGTCATCCTATCAAGCCTAGCCATAAGTTGAGCGCGCGCGAAGCGCGCGATGGTTCTAGCACGCGCACACATATGTGTATAAGTATACGTATGTGTACCACAGCATGGATTGCAACATTTTTATGTGTATATATGTGTGTATGTGTGTATTTACATAGTGCACGTCGTAGATTGCACCACGTGGATTGCCCCGCATTGGATCCCCGTTCTGACCGCCTGACAGAGGGCACACCCGAACGGACATGTTTGCGCGCCGCCGATTCTGGGCCCTCTCCTGAAGGCGTGCCAGGGCCGTATATAGCCGTCTTCGGGGCCTCATGGGCCATCTTGGTGTTCCCTTGGCCGTCTTGGAGCCCTCTCGGGAGCCTCGAGGGCGTCTTGGACCGACTTTTGGGCCCTGTGGGGCCGTCTTCGACGCTGCGGAAGCCAAAGAGGCCAGTCTGCTAAAATTACGAATTCTCCTTTGGAGCTGGGGCGATTGTTGCCTGTTGGGGCCTCCTTGGGAGAGTTCTTGGTGGCCTCTTGGAGAATATTCGGGGCATCTTGCGCCGTTTCGAAGGAAACTCTGGCGGCTTGGAAGAATCTTTAAGAAGCGTGTCGAAGCTCTCTTGGACAGTCTTGGGGCCGTCTTGGCCCGTTTAGGGGGCCTTCTATGGCCTTATGACGCGCTCGGTGCCCTGGCCGGGGTCGTCCGCGGCCAGGGGGGCCGCGGCCTGGGGGGATCAAATTTCCGGTTTGGGGCCCCGGGCGGGGAGCCTATCGGGGGCCCCAAAACGGGTTGGTGACCACACCGTGCGGTGAGTCGGTGGGAATTCGGGGTCAGCTCGCGGTTTTGAGACCCGGGTCGTTCTCCGAGGACGTCTCGGGCGACGGGGGCCTCCAGGGTCCCAAAGACCGTGCGGTGACGGACCGTGCGGTGAGGTCTTCGGGGATTCCGAGGTCACCGCACGGTCTGTCACCGCACCGCTTCGGGACTCCAAAGATCATGGGGGGGGAAATCTCATACGCCTGGAGACCCACACGGGACCGGCGGAGTTTTGCCTGTGGAGACCTCGTGGGCCGCCTGGGAGGCTGTTGGGGGGCCTCCTGGGCACTCCTGGGCCATCTTGAGGCAAATAGGCCGTCTGGGGTGCATTTTGGGCAGTGTTGGGGGCATCTTGGGGCAATCTTGGGCGCTTGGCCTGGGATTGGCCTGGGATTGGCCAGGTCAGGCGGAGTCTGTTGCACGTTGCCAGCTTGCATTAACTCGGGCGTGTCCCTCTACAGGAGGAATGTTCAAGCATAGTTTAAAACATAGTCTAGGGACGGTGTTTAAGATTATTGTTTGACTATCTTTGAATCTGTTTTGGGTATTTAATGTTTCGTCCAAAATCCGCCTGTAGGGGAACATACCCGACCTAAAGCTTACAGCGCACATAGAGTGTGCCCTTCGCATCCGGCGGCACAGGAAATACCGTCGCCTCCCATTGTTGCTCTTCGAGGTTTGTTGTTCGTTGGTTCGGGGCTTCTTTCGAAAAAGAAAAACCCACATTAACATAAACGGTTGGCGCTCCGCGCGGGTTTCTTGGATCCCCGCCTGGGCTCCCCGGCGGCGCCTCCGGCGCAGCCATTGGCGCGCTCCGCGAGGGGAGCGGATCTCAGAAATCCGCGCGGAGCGCCAAATAATTATGCTCATCTGGTTTTGTCTTCTTCTAGGCTTGCTGCTAAACTGTGGTTCCGCATGTATGCTCTGCATATCGCCGAGCGCACGCGGCCCACGGGGAGATGCGGGAAAGCGATTCTACACGCGCGCAGTTGGGTGGCAACAGTGGTCGGGCCAAAGGTTCCGATGCGGCGCCATCGGTGACCCGACATTCCTCAGAAGGGCGCGCTGGTCTTGCCCCTTCTCTTCTTCGTCGTCCTTTCAGGCTTGCCACGCCTGCCTGTCCTCAGGCGCTCGAGATATGGGTGAGCAAGGACGCCAAGACATGCCTGCAGGAGCTTCCAGAGGTGCCCAGCGAGGACAGGGTGGCGCAGCTCCAGGAACAGACCAGGAGTCGAGCCGCCTCTTTCCCATCCAGCGACTGGAGATGGGGCAGAGATCCGTACTACGAGTGGGATGCTGCTGTTGAGAAGGACGCGAGGGAGAGGAAGAAAGATGCCAGAGCTGGTGGACGAGATCATGTAGTAAAGAGGTGGATTGACAGCGCGTTGTATCTGTCAGCGTGGCGGGTGCCCATGCCAAGCCCGTCGTTGTTGGCAAATGGGAGGTGCGGCGGGGGGGGAATGCCAGGGCAACCCGCCTGCAAAAGCGCCTTCATGAACTGTGGGGAAGTTACGAAATCGAAGTTCGCACAATATGCGTTCCTTGCGTCCGTGCTACATGTTCTCGGGCGCCCGCTTCGACTCACATCCCCTGGTAATTTAATTCGGTCGGCTTGGTGCATTGCCGCTTTGCGAGTGCGGCTTGGGGTGTGTGAGCCTCAGCACTGGTACGCAGACGCGACATCACCATGCTCGATACCATGCGAAGCCTACGCCAGATCAAACTCATACAAATCACAAGCGCAATGCAAGACTAGAGACGTGATAGGTCGACGCTGACTTGTTTGCCAAACCTGCCCAGGTTGTGCAACCTTTGGCCTGCGCATGTCCGATGTAGGATTGGTATTTCGTACAAGTTGTGAGGAACAAGCAACAGGTCCACCCAGCTCTGATTTCCAGCCGCGAAGTCTCAAGGGGCACCCATTAGCATGAATGGGGTTAACTCCGAGACAAGTGTTCCCTAACCGATAGTGCGAAAGCTGTTCCAGAAGTAGTGCAGCTGCCCTTTGAGGGCCAGTCTCCGCTCAACCTGCTCATTCTATGAGATATTCTGGTTTGGTTCTCCAGACAGCCCGCGTGTCCAGAACTTGCGGTCCGTTGGAAGCCCATCGCGCGCAACGCGCGCAAAGCTCGTCCCCGTTTGCCTTTGCGCGCGCATGTCATGCAAGTGCACACGCAGCGCTCAAGCGCTCCAGTGGTGATTGATGCAGTAACCGGTGGGCCTTCAGCTCTGCACCATCTTCTCCCAACTATCTGTCTCGCCAGTCTTTTCTTCTTGCGTCTTCTAATGTGGTCCCTTCTGTTTTCCATTACCACCACTCCAACCCCGCGCCCCCCCGTGAGGTCGACCAGCAGACGTGGTCTGTCTCGGCAGACGCCGGCGTTGACATCTCTTTGGGGGGTTTTACTTCCGCCGGCTTCCGCCGGCTTCCGCCACTGTATATGCGCAGCCGGGTGGCAATAGGTGGCCGCTCTTTGCGTTGGGCGTGCACCACTGTGTGTATATATATATATATATATATATAAAAAAAAATGCACACAACTATTCCAGATCATATATTTATATGAAGCCGGGGACACCGGACCCCCCCCTCCCCTCCCGAGAGGCCCGGGAAAACCCCACGAAAACCCGAAGGAGGTCCCAGGGGGCTCCAGGCGTTCCGGCGCGCTCTTGAAACGACCGCAGAGAGGCCAAAAACGGCCCACGACGATCCCAGAGAAGCCGTCAGACTCCCAAAGATCGCGGCAAAACGTCCCAAGAGACCTCCAATAACACCCCCAAGAACGCCCCGAGAGGCACAATTGATGGATTTACTGTTGGTTGTTGATAAATCTGGGGGTTCTCCTCTTTTCGGCTTCCCGACGCTCCAAACGGCGGTCGCCTGGACGTCCGAAAAACCGCCAGAGAGGATCGAAAATCGCCCACAACCATCGGAAAAAGGGCTTCCAGACAGTCCAAGAGAACCCGAAGACGGCACAAGAGAACCCCAATATGGCCCAAAAAAAAACCCCACAACGGCCCAACATTACCCCAAGACGCCCTCCGATTCATTCCAAATCGTGACCGGGTCGTTCAGGGAGACCGCGGTTGGAGGCAGGGTGGCTCGAGGAAGGCCCAAAAGGCCCCCAGAAGACGCCCAAGAGGCTTCCAGAAGACCTAAACAAAACATGAGGAAGTGTTATGAGGCCCCAAGAGGTTCCCCAAGGGGGAGCCCCCGCAAAAAGAGTTGAGCAGGATGGGGGAACGACGCAGGGTATGGCGAGAATGCGGTCAGAGAAGCACGGAGGAAGGATAACGACAATCATGCTCATGCTTATAACGGCGGTGCTGGGAAAAAAAAAGGCGACAAGGAAGTATCGATCAATTGTTGGCTCGACATTCTTGCCATTCCGCGTGCATGCCAAACTTCAATGGCCAAGGACCATGGCGCGAAGCGCCAATCTCCTCGGGCCCTGCGTGCTTTGAGCTCGGTGTGGCGCCCCAGGGCTGAGCTCGGCCAGCTGCTCGCGATGGTCGAGCAGGCGCGGGAGCCCTTTTGCAGCTTACCTGTGCCCCCTTCGCCGCTCCTCGTTTCATCTCTCTCTCTCTCTCTTTTTTTCTCTCTCTCTCTCTCTCTCTTTTTTCTCTTTCTCTCTCTCTCTCTCTCTGTCTCTCTCTCTCTCTCTCTCTTTCCTCTGATTATCTCTCCTCTTTCTCCCTATCTCTCTCTCTCTCTCTCTCTCCCGCCCTCTCTGCCTCTCTCTCTGTCTCTGTTTTTCTCTCCCGTTCATCCTCTCACTCTCTCTCTCTCTCTCTGTTTCGCTTCCTCTCCCTCTCTATGTCTCCGTCTCTTTTCCCCCCCCCCGTCCTGTAAGTGCCCCCTCTGTCTCGTTTATCAAGGCATGAGTGTGGGGCTCCTGTTGCGAGCGACGCGCGCCCGTCCTACCCTCACATCGCGCTCGTAATCAAGCTTCGAGTAGTAACTGGATTCAGACCCCGACGCACTGCCAATCAGACTCGCTTGCATGTGAACGCTCATGCTCGCACTCACTCGCCTGCAGACTCACTCCCAGATTCACTCGCACGCAGAATGGCATTCCGATTCATCTGCACTCATATCGAGCACAATGTGAGCTCTCACGGGCAGACGCACACTCGCTAGCAGACCCACTCGTAATATGACCAGCTCTTAGTCAGACCCGCTCGCCCCATAAGCACTCGCACCCATATTCACTCGTACGCACCCACGCTCAGTCTCATACTGTCTCGGCCTCGTTCCCAGGTGCACTCAGACTCGGACTCGGAGCCCCCAAATGTGGCAACCGACTGGCCACCGTCATCCAACACATATGCGGCATCAGTGCTGCTTGTGTTCTTGCCTTCTCGCTCAGCACTGGCCTCAGATGGCACACCGCAAGACGGCCCTGACATCCCCAGACAGGGGCCCCGAATACTCACGACACTGCCCGCCAAGCGCCTGGCAGCTCCCCAAGAGCGTTTCAAGAGGGCCCAGATCCGTTTTTGTTTTCTTTCCTGTTGGATGTTGCATGTTGTTGCTCGATGCCGCTCTGGCTATGCCCAGGCAGGGCCCCAAAGGCCCCCGTGGAGCCTCGTGGGTGGAATATTAATGCTCAGCCATTCATCCACCGTGGCCCCGAGATGGCTTCAAGTAGGGGGACAAACAATGACATAAACATATAAACTCGGAGGTCCGCGCGGGTTTCTCGGATTGGCGCTGGACCCTTCTCCCTGGCGCGCGGAGCGCGCCGGGGGCGGCGCCAGAGGCGCCTCCAGCGGGGTTCCAGCGCCGATCCGAGAAATCCGCGCGGACCTCCGAGTTTTTATGTTTATGTCACTTTTTGTTCCCATAGTAAGGTTGTCCAACTGAGCTTTCTAGAGGCGCCCCCCCCGGCGCCGTCAGTTCCGCGCAGGCACTTCTGGTCGCTTTTTGCCGCAGGCTGAGCCGGAGCTTCGAGCAGACGGCTGCCCCCTCGTTCTTCCACTGGCTGCGTTTGCCCTTCCCTGATCAAGGGAACTCGCTTGGGAATCAGTTCGTGATGGGGCTCGCTGGGATCTGCGAGTCGTCGAGAACATGGCATGCGGCGCGTGCGGATGGACGCTGAATGCATGAGAACGGTCGGCCAAAGCAACGCGTGGTCCACTAACCCGGCGTGGGGTCATAACGCATTGTCGTGTGGAGGTGCGCGCAGGAAGCGTTCGCCAAAGGTGGACGTCGCATCTGCAGTTGCGGACCTGTAGCCTGTCGAAGTACCGAGCGGCGGATCTGAGCCCATGCCCGACGTCTTTCGCCCCAGGCCGATGTCAGCTCGCCCGATACCAGCTCGGGCGAAAACACACCCGAGGACAAATACCCCACCGCTGGCCACAACATGCCTGCTTCTTTGTGTGCGCGAGTCTCAGCAGGAGCCTGGGAGAGCACCGTCGACGCCGTGTCCTTCCAGTTGGCGGGGGGCAAACGTCAAGGACATAAACTCTCGGCGTTCCGCGCGGATTCCTTGGATCCGTGCTTGGTCCCCCTGGCGGCGTCTCCGGCGCCGCCCCTGGCGCGCGCCGGAGGCGCCGGGCCGGGGGGGCCCAGCGCCGTGCCAAGAGCTCGACCCGGGCAGTTTTCCTTCGGCGCGGGGCAGTTTTCCTTCGGCGAGGACCCTCGAGGAGCATCCTGGATCAGTCGGCGGAGGCCACGCACGAAGCCGAAGAGATCACGGGGAATGGACGTCCGAGCGATGGCGAGTCTGTGGGCAGATGCCGCGGAGCAGCGCGCGGAGGACGTGCACGGGCTCGCGGGGGCCAGGTCGCGGGCGGGCGCAGCCGCGGCGGGGCCCGCACGCCCGCGGGCGGCGAGGAGGACGGAGGCGCAGCGGCGGGCTTCTCGGTCGGGCAGCCCGTGGCCTGCCCGCGTCTGCGGGCGAGAGTCAGGAGGGCACGAAACACACAGACAAAAAAGAATCGTCGACTCCCCGGAAAATACAGGAAAATACGGGGAGTGGGGGGGAGACAAAAACCCGGAACACGTGGGAAAGTATCGAGGGTGCTGTTATTTGTGTGTATTTATTGGTGTGTCCCAGGGCCCCTTCAGACAGCCCCAGAGGGCGGATTCGAGCGTGCGTGCCGTGTCGGGTGGGGCTCCGAAACCCTTCATATGGGTTCGGGCAAACGCGATCGCCCTCCAGGGGGGGCACAGAGGTGTGGCTTCAGGCCGTCCTGCAAGGGCTTTCGCCCTCTCTGGGTAGACAGAACGACTATTATTTCTGTTGCTGCGAGTACTTGCGACTGCCGCCACCGCTATGAGTGTTTTGCTTGCTACTACAGCTGCGACGACCACTGCAACCACTGCGAGTATTGATGTTGTTATTAGCACCACACAGCTACTGAAACAATTACGATCGGTACGGCTAGTGATGTTACTACGACTACGGCTGTACATACTATTACGGTTGCGACTACTACAATGGTTGTTGTATCCAGCATTACTAGTGTTATGCTTCTGACTCGTGCTAATAAAACCACTACCATTGGTGCGGCAACTCCTACTCCTCCTTGTCTACATCGTCATTGCCATCATCTCCCTCCCCTCTTCTTCTCTTCTCGTTGACCTCATCCTCATGATCACCATCGTCGCGCACCCCACCTCACTATTCCGCCGACTGTCATCGCAGGATCGCTCGACCATCGTGACCCCCGGGGTCGCAGATCGTGCTGCTTATCATGCTCCCCCATCCTGCGGTGTCCTCACTGCTCCTCTTGCCTCTGCTCTGCATCGCTCCTCGCCACCCTGTTTCTCTTTCTCTCTCTCTCTCTCTCGCTTGATCCTCGTTCTCCCTCTTCACTCCTCCTTCCCGTCGTCGTTGCTTCTTCCCATTTTTCCTCATGTCTTGTTCCACTACTCCTTCGCAGTCTACCCGCCTAAGAAGGATGGGCACCCTGCCCAAGGGTACCATTGCACCCTTGCCTCCTCGGTCCATCCTTGGCCGCTTTCGCTGGCCGCGCCCCGCTCCAATAGCCTCGAGAGGGCCCTCCAGGGCCCCTGCATCTTTAATTCGTGCGTCCTTGTGATACGGGCTGACTGTGTCTTCCTCTCCCGTGCTCGGACTGGGCTGGGCCCTCCTGGGGCGAGCCGTAAGTCGGGGCCTGTCCCTCTACAGGGAGGATATCAAAAATAGGAAAACATCAGGCTGGGGACGATTTGTTGAGCCATTTGGGAGTTTTTGTTTGAGTATTCCTTATTTTTCTCCCAAGATCCCCCTGTAGGGTCACAGGCCCGACCGAAGGCCAGCCTCCCGCGCCGACCAGGCGCAGCGCGGCTCCGCCAGTGGCGAGGGGCCTCTGGCCCAGCCCGCCGTGGCGGCCGCGTGAGGGCCCGCCGCTCTCTTCTCACCTCGTGCGGGCGGCCTCCGCCCGCCACCCACCTCGCTCGGGACCTCGCAGAGGGGGGTCGGAGGGAGGAGAAGCGGTACCAAAACACCAATTGGTGGCCCACCTCCAACGAGGAGGTCCACGATGCCTCCCCGAGCTGGAGGCTGGGGATGTCTCGAGCGAGAGGGGGGGACCACACCACCAGGGAGACCCCCCTTCCCTCCTCGCATCTCCTCGCCCTGGTGGTGTTGGTGTCGCCTTTTCTTGTTCCTAGGTCGGGAGGGGGCACAGGGGGGGGGAGTTCTGTCCGTTCGCGCATCGAACCGCAGAAGGACGGTGCAAAACGAGGCCCCTGGCCGCCGCCGGAACCCCCGAGAGGCGCGCGGGTTGCAGCGCTGTTCGGAACGTCGGTGCACCCGCGGATCGAGCTCATCGAGGAGGAGGAGGAGGAGGAGGAGGAGGAGGTTTGTGGATCCCAAGCTTTTCACCTCGTGCGGGCGGCCTCCGCCCGCGGCCCACCTCTCTCTCTCGGGTGTCGCCCTCGGCCCCGCGCCAAGGAGTGGCCTGTCGCCCAGAGTGGCTCGGGGGAGGAAAGGAGGTGCCCGTGCTGCCGCTGCCCTCTTCTCCCCTGTCCCTGTGGGGGTTCCTCCTCCTCCTCCTCCTCCTCCTCCTCCTCCTCCTCCTCCACAACTACCCAATATGAAAATACTCTCCCTCTTCCCCTGATGGCGTCCGGGTGATGGCCGCGCACTCTCCGCGTACTGTTTTTTAACACACAGGATGCCCGGGAAATCCCGGGAAACGACTCTCGCTGAGGCGCCGGCGTCATTTTTTCCCAAAATGCTGCTGTCATTGAGGCGCCGGCCTCATTTCTGCTCCCGAATCGTTCCGAATCGTGCTCCCGCTGCAGCGTGGGCCTCATTTTCGGATCGGTGTTTGGCCTCCGTCGTTCAGGATGGCGTTCTCGCCCCAGCGCGGGCCTTTTTCTCGCGCGCCCATCCGCCCGCCACCACCGCGCCGCACCGCCACCACCACCACCACCACCACCACCACCACCACCACCACCACCACACCACCACCAGCACCAGCACCAGTACCAACACCACCACCACCAGCACCACCACCACCACCCACCACCACCACCACCACCACCACCACCACCACCACCACACCACCACCACCACCACCACCACGACAACCACGCACACACGCACGCACGCACGCACGTGCACCACCACCCACTACGCACGCGCGCGCGGAGCCACAGGTCCGCTACGACACGCGTCCGCGGATAGAGAAAATCAGCGCCATGGTAAGGGATGGGAGGGAGGGGTAGGACGTCAGATATGACGCGCGCGCGCGCACCTAGCTTGTCCTCCTCCTCCTCCTCCTCCTCCTCCTCCTCCTCCTCCTCCTCCCTCTCGCCCTCGCCCCTCGCCCGTTTTCCCCTTTTGGAGCCTCCTGGGCGGCCCTCGTCGCCACCGCTGGATTCGCCTCGAGATCCTGGTCAGAACGCACCCCGGGAGAGGTCCGGGGAGTAGCAGTAGGTAGGTACCTTTTGGTCTGGAGGCACGAAAGGAGTGTGGCAGAAAGGGGTGTGGTGCCAATGGTGAGCCTGGTGATGCTATCTACCGTAGATCGCATCTCGCTTTCCACGATTGGCACCACACCCCTTTTTATCAAGGGTGGAAAAAACACCCCGACCCCGACAATTCGCGTTGACCAAACAGCCCTGGGCGTTTACTAAACAGCCCTGTCCTGTTCGATTCCTTCCATGGGTGAGTCTACTAAACGGCTTCGCTTGTCGGGGTGCTTATTCTGGGGGTGGATTTTCTGCCCTCTACTCCCGCGACCCACCCGCGACCACAGCGACCCACCCGCGACCCACCCACCACCCATCCGCGACCCACCCACAATGGTTTAACGAAGACATCGGCGCCTGCGGCGGGCCATAATTTGCAAAACTTTGGCGCCTGCGGCGGGCTTCTTCGGCTGCCGACGTCCCCACTGCCGACGTCCCCACTGCCGACGTCCCCACTGCGGCGCCCCCACTGCATAATTTGCAAAGCTTTGGCGCCTGCGTCTCGCAAACTGCCGACATGCCCGTCTCGATTATTCTTAATGTTTCACTGTAGATCCTAAGATTTGAATGGGAATGTTGGGTTTTTAGTCAAGTTCTGAGAATATGAATTTCTTAACCCATGATTTCTTAAGCATTTCGCAGGGTGTACTCTACTTGATGCCACACCCCTTTCCGACCTCCAGCTTCGGTTTCCCCGGGAGTGGCCCGTGGTGCGGGCGCGCAGAGGGCTGCCCTCAGCTCTGGCCTGCGCGGCCCGGAGTCGCCCCCCCCGCGACGGCCCCAGGAGGCCGCGCAGGACACAGGTGGTTCTTGCCCGAAGTTGGGCCTGCCCCTCTACAGGAGGGATGTTCAGGAGTAGTAAAAAATAGTCTGGGTACGAGTTGTTTTGGGTGTTGCTGACTATTCGGGAGTGTTTGTTGAATGGTCTTTGTTTGTCGCCCAAAATCCCCCTGGAGGGGGACATGCCCGACCTGGCTCTTGCCCAGGGGTCCCTCCTGCGTGTGGCCGACCCCCCTTTTTCGGGTGCTGCCCGGCGTGGCGTGGTCCTGGGTCCAGCCTGACCGCAGCTTCTTCCCCAGTGGGGCGCGCCCCGACCCCCTCGCGCCGTGGAGCAAGACCACGGCGGAGAGTGCTCGGCGACTCTCGAGCTTCGCGTGGGCCCTCGCCGGGCCTCGGGGCCGTCACGCAGCGGCTCCGGAGGAGGAGCCGGGCCCAGGGAACGGGTCGAGTGATGGGCCTGTCTTCCACCACCACCATGAGCTGGAGGGGGGAAGGAGGTGGAGGAGGAGGGGGAGGACGAAGAGAAGGAGGAGGAGGAGGAGGAGGAGGAGGAGGAGGAGAAGGAAGAGGAGGACCCCCTCCCCGTCCTACTTATGGTGACGGCGATGGAAAACAAGCCCACCACGAGACCTTTGGGGTCCACGTTGTGAAGAATCACGATGTCGGGGGCCTGAGCAGATGGCTTCCAGAGTTCTCTCACGAGGCCCAGATCGCCCCAGAGCGCCCTCGCCGATTCACGAGGACTGGTGCGCGGCACCCCCTGGCCTCACCCTCCTCTTCCAGTTTTCTCCCTCAAACTCCTCGTCCATATTCCTCGTCCTCCTTTCTCCTCCGCCTCTTTCATCGTCATCTTCATCCTCCCGCATTCTTCCCACTACTGGAGGTACAGGAACAGGGGACACAGCTGCTCCCCCGACCTCTCCTGGGAGCGCGTTCTGACCGGAATTCCGAGGAGAATCCAGTCGTGGCGGCGATGGGTCCCCAGGGCGAGCAGCGGTACGTGCATCCGTTCCTCCTCTGACCTGGCGTCCCCCTCCTATTCCGTCTCCTCCTCCTACTCCCCCTCCTCCTCCTCCTCCTCCTCCTCCACTTGCCCTCGCCGCCGGCCGCGCTGCCCGCACCGCCGCGCGGCCGCGGTCCCTCGGAGCAAGAGGAAACAAGCACGATCGCCGCGCGTGTAGCGTTTGCGGTCTCTTGCTGGCACAGGGGTGGCCCTTCGGTGGCAAGCGCCAGGGATGGCAGCGCTGGGAGGGAAGGAGGAGGAGCAGGAGGAGAGGGACGAGGAGGAGGAGGGGGACGAGGAGGAGGAGGAGGAGGACCAGTTTACACCCAAGACCCATCAACGATATCACAGCCACTCCTCATTCCAAGTTCCCTGTTCTTCCGCTTCAGTGGCTCTGATAAGTACTGATTGTCTTTGCGGGAATGGACCTGTAGAAAGACAACCGTCTGAGAACCTACAACCGTGCCAACGCACCACTCTTCGGATTTCGAAGCCGCGAGTCAACGTGACTGTTGCGACCGGACGACCCTACGTCGTGCCAGAGTCCCATGTCTGGGACGTCGACACTGCGACTCAACGTGACTGCCGTGCCCTGACAATCCTAAACCGGTGTCAAACATTGTTTCCGGATCCGGAACGTCAACCACAAGAGTCTTTGAAATTGTTGTAACCAGTTACGACGAATGCGTTGAACTTTGAGGCGACAGCCACATTTTTAAAAGGAACCGCCTCGTCCGTGAAGCATTGGTAAACCATACAAGTCGAACGTTCGCGGCGCTGAGGCGAGAACCACATGTGGAACACCGCGTGACCAGACTCTATGAAACTTCTGCAACCTTTCAAGACGGATCCGCGCGGCCTTCATGCGAGAGGCGGATTTTGAAAGCCGCCCTCCACCCTACGAAGGATTGCAAAAAACGAAGGATTGCAAAAAAACCTTTTGAAGGATTGCAAACGAAGGATTGCAAAAAACGAAGGATTGCAAAAAAACCTGTTTGCAATCCTTCGAATGTTTTTTACCTAACAGCGAAGACTGATAGGTTTCTAGTGGTGTCAAAAGAGAGCAGCAGATGACTCCACATGGGGGTCCGGGCGGGACCCGGGGCGGCTGCCGTCGAAGCCCAAATCGCCTGGGACATCCTCGCAAAATCGCTCTTGGCGCTGCTAGAACTCCATTCCCGGCGTACATTTTGGATGCCCGGAGCCAACTATAGGCCACTTCGTGCTCTTCGACTTCCCAGAACTCCATTCCCGGCGTACAGTTTGAATGCCCGGAGCCAATTGTAGGCCACTTCGTGCTCTTCGAGTTCCCAGAATTCAATTCCCGGCGTTCATTTTGGATGCCCGGAGCCAACTGTAGGCCACTTCGTGGTCTTCGAGTTTCCAGAATTCCATTCCCGGCGTACATTTTGGATGCCCGGAGCCAACTATAGGCCACTTCGTGTTCTTCGACTTCCCAGAACTCCATTCCCGGCGTACATTTTGGATGCCCGAATTGTAGGCCACTTCGTGCTCTTCGAGTTCCCAGAACTCCATTCCCGGGCCACATTTTGGATGCCCGGAGCCAACTGTAGGCCACTTCGTGGTCTTCGAGTTTCCAGAACTCCACTCCTGGGCCACATTTTGGGTGCCCGG